GGAAGCAGAGCAGCGAGATGAAGACGGTGCTCATGTGGGAGGCCAGCCAGGGCCTGCGGGGCGCCCGGCAGTTGGCCAGCAGGCTGGTCTGGGGACAAAGGCTGTGCTCGGCACTGCCCCCTCAGGCCTCCACGGGGGCGGGGGCAGGTGGGGCCTGAGCGAGGCCCCAGGACGGGACGGTGGGCAGGCGAGAGGCAGACACTCAGGGCCTGAGCCCAGGGGAGGCCGTGCAGAGGGGGCCCCGGCGCGGGGAGGGGCTGAGGCCACTCGCTGCACAAGTCCCCGGGCACTGCCCAGGGCGGCCGGGGCTGGTCCTCACACCCACCGAGCAGCCCCGGGGACACGAGACCAAGGTCGCCTCCCACGGCCGTGGCCCCTCTCCTGGCGCCCTGCCCTGAGCCGTGGACGGTGCCCGAGGGGGGTGGGGGCGGCCTGGGCGGCCCGCGCTGCCCCTGGGCCAGGGGACGCTCCCAGGCCCAGGCCCCCCGCGGAGCGCCGCCCTACCTTCTTCAGGCAGAAGAGCAGCAGCAGCTTGGCCACCTGCACGGCGGGCAGGAGCGGCGAGAAGAGGACGCCCAGCCTGGGGGGTGGGGGGGGGGAGACCAGGGCTGGGTCCCGGCCCGTGCCGCCCCGCACAGCGCTGCCCCCCCCCCGGCCGGCGGGCGCCCGCTCACCAGGCCAGGGTCTGCCCGTGGATGAGCTCCAGCACGTTGCCCGCGATGTCGAACTCCGGCTTGCCCCGCCCCAGCCACCGCTCCGAGATCAGCCTGAGAGGAGCCGGCTCAGCGTCCCTGCCCGCCCCTCCTCCTCCCTGCCCCCTCCTCCTCCCTGCCCGCTCCTCCTCCTCCCTGCCCACCCCTCCTCCTCCCTGCCCCCTCCTCCTCCCTGCCCGCCCCACACCCGGCTCCGTCCCTGCCCGCTCCTCCTCCCTCCTGCCCACTCCTCCTCCTCCCTGCCCACCCCACACCCGGCTCCGTCCCTGCCCGCTCCTCCTCCTCCCTGCCCCCTCCTCCTCCCTGCCCCCTCCTCCTCCCTGCCCGCCCCTCCTCATCCCTGCCCCCCTCCTCCTCCCTGCCCGCCCCACACCCGGCTCCGTCCCTGCCCGCTCCTCCTCCTCCCTGCCCACCCCTCCTCCTCCCTGCCCCCTCCTCCTCCCTGCCCACTTCTCCTCCCTCCTGCCCGCCCCTCCTCCTCCCTGCCCCCTCCTCCTCCCTGCCGCCCCTCCTCCTCCCTGCCCGCTCCTCCTCCCTCCTGCCCGCTCCTCCTCCTTCCTGCCCTCTCCTCCTCCCTGCCCCCTCCTCCTCCCTGCCCACCCCTCCTCCTCCCTGCCCGCCCCTCCTCATCCCTGCCCCCCTCCTCCTCCCTGCCCACCCCACACCCGGCTCCGTCCCTGCCCGCTCCTCCTCCCTCCTGCCCGCTCCTCCTCCTCCCTGCCCCCTCCTCCTCCCTGCCCCCTCCTCCTCCCTGCCCCCTCCTCCTCCCTGCCCGCCCCACACCCGGCTCCGTCCCTGCCCGCTCCTCCTCCCTCCTGCCCACCCCTCCTCCTCCCTGCCCGCTCCTCCTCCCTGCCCCCTCCTCCTCCCTGCCCCCTCCTCCTCCCTGCCCCCTCCTCCTCCCTGCCCGCCCCTCCTCCCTGCCCCCTCCTCCTCCCTGCCCCCTCCTCCTCCCTGCCCCCTCCTCCTCCCTGCCCCCTCCTCCTCCCTGCCCGCCCCTCCTCCCTGCCCGCCCCTCCTCCCTGCCCCCTCTTCCTCCCTGCCCACCCCTCCTCCTCCTCCCTGCCCGCCCCTCCTCCCTGCCCGCCCCACACCCGACTCCGTCCCTGCCGCCCTACTCCTCCCTGCCCCCCTCCTCCTCCCTGCCCCCCTCCTCCGTCCCTGCCCGCTCCTCCTCCTCCCTGCCAACCCCTCCTCCTCCCTGCCCCCCTCCTCCTCCCTGCCCACCCCTCCTCCTCCCTGCCCCCTCCTCCCCCCTGCCCACCCCTCCTCCTCCTCCCTGCCCGCCCCTCCTCCCTGCCCCCTCCTCCTCCCTGCCCGCCCCTCCTCCCTGCTGCCCCTCCTCCTCCCTGCCCCCTCCTCCTCCCTGCCGCCCCTCCTCCTCCCTGCCGCCCCTCCTCCTCCCTGCCCGCCCCTCCTCGGGCTCCCGCGGGTGCTGAGGGGGAGGCACCTGGGTGCCGACCTGAGGGCCCTGCCTCTGCCCCTGTGCAGGCGGAGCCCACGGCCTGGACGGGCACAGGCGGGAGAGCGCCCTCCTCTGGCCCCTGCGACAGGCCGTCCAGATCGGGGCGAACCCCTCTCCTTTCCACCCGCTCAGGCTCCCCCGCCCGGCTCTTACAGGAGGGCTGTGGGCGGCCTGAGAGCCCGCGGCCTCAGGGAAGGGCGCTCAGCCTTCGGGGTCACCGGCCTCACCTCCAGCCCAGCTCCCCGCACAGCGTGTCCAGCAGCGCGAAGAGGAAGTCCAGCACCGTGAGGCGGTACAGCTCCTGGCCCACAAAGTCCTCCCAGCACTGTGGGGGACGGGGTCAGCCGGCCGCCAGGCCCCCACCCCGGCCCCCACCCGCCCCCACCCAGCCGCCTGGCCCCCCACCCTCACCCCCACCTCCCCCCACCCAGCCGCCCGGCCGCCCGCCCCGAGACGGGCCCGCACCTGGCCCTGCAGCGTGGCCACCCTGCGGCCCAGCCAGTGGTAGCACAGGATCCCCAGGGTGACCATCTTGAGGATGAGGTTCCTGGGAGGGAGGGAGGGAGGGAGGGCGCGGAGGCTGAGGGGCGCTGGGGTAGAGGTCGCCCGGGGCCCGCCAGGCCCGGCCGCCTACCTGCAGATGGCCACGTACACCTCCAGCACCGGGGAGTCGTGCCGCTCCAGGGCGGCCAGGCCGCGGAACAGGTAGGGCGCCCCCAGGTTGAGGAGGCAGACCACCAGGGGCAGGGCCAGCAGCGCCGCCTCCCGGTCCGCACGCACCGGGCTCTGCGGGGAGGGGCGGCGGTCACCCCGGTGCCTCGGCCACTGGGCGGCAGGCCCACCGCGGGCCTGGGGGGCGGTTCCCCGGAGTGGAGGGCCGGCCGGGAGCACTGCCCCAGGTACGCGCCCCCAGGCCTCAGCTTAAACCCCACAGGAAGGGGCGGCCGGAGGGAGGAGAAAGGAGAGAAGAGGGGGGGGGGCGGAGGGAGGAGAAAGGAGAGAAGAGAGAGGAGGGGGGGCCGGAGGGAGGAGAAAGGAGAGAAGAGGGAGGAGGGGGGGGCCGGAGGGAGGAGAAAGGAGAGAAGAGGGAGGAGGGGGGGGCCGGAGGGAGGAGAAAGGAGAGAAGAGGGAGGGGGGGGCCGGAGGGAGGAGAAAGGAGAGAAGAGGGAGGGGGGGCGGGGGGAGGAGAAAGGAGAGAAGAGGGAGGAGGGGGGGGCCGGAGGGAGGAGAAAGGAGAGAAGAGGGAGGGGGGGGCCGGAGGGAGGAGAAAGGAGAGAAGAGGGAGGGGGGGGCCGGAGGGAGGAGAAAGGAGAGAAGAGGGAGGGGGGGCGGAGGGAGGAGAAAGGAGAGAAGAGGGAGGGGGGGGCCGGAGGGAGGAGAAAGGAGAGAAGAGGGAGGGGGGGGCCGGAGGGAGGAGAAAGGAGAGAAGAGGGAGGGGGGGGCCGGAGGGAGGAGAAAGGAGAGAAGAGGGAGGGGGGGCGGAGGGAGGAGAAAGGAGAGAAGAGGGAGGGGGGGGCCGGAGGGAGGAGAAAGGAGAGAAGAGGGAGGGGGGGGCCGGAGGGAGGAGAAAGGAGAGAAGAGGGAGGGGGGGGCCGGAGGGAGGAGAAAGGAGAGAAGAGGGAGGGGGGGCGGAGGGAGGAGAAAGGAGAGAAGAGGGAGGAGGGGGGGGCGGGGGGCAGAGGGAGGTCTCCAGGAGGGCCCTGGCTCCCGGCCCAGGGGCAGAGGCGGGCAGGTGCGGTCAGCGGGACCCTTCCCCGCGGGGATGTCTGACCCTGAGGGCCCAGCCCCTCACCTCGATCACGTGCTCCGAGAAGGTGTGGACGGCCACGGTGCAGCCCAGCGTGACGCCCAGACACAGCAGCCACACAAGCGCCAGCACAGCCGCCCGGCGCAGCCGCCCCCACAGGCTCGGGCGGCCGCGCTGCAGCTGCCACTCGGCCAGCAGCTCCTGCGGGCAGCGAGCCGGCCTCAGTCCCCCCGCCTCCCGGCCGCGCCCACGGGGCACGGCAGACACCGGGGGGCCGAGCGGACGGAGGGGCGCCCACCCCCAATGCCCCCAGCTCCGGCCCGTCTCCCCGCAGACAGCACAGCACGTGGGCCCAAGGCTGCGCGTGTCAGCCTGCTCCCACCCAGGCTCACGCTGCACCCCACCCTCTCCCACCCTCCTGAGCGGTCCTGCAGCTGAGGGTGGGGCCCCCGGGGAGCTCCTGAGGGCAGCGAGGCCCCATCCTGCAGCACAAACCCCGGAAGGCAGAGGGGTCTCCGTGAGGCCAGCCCAGCCGCCTCGCCTCTGGCCGGGGACAGGGCCTGAGCCCGTGGCCGGGGAGACAGCTTCCCACCCTGGGCGGCTGGGCGAGCGGGCGCCTCCCAGCAGGAGCCGCTGGGCCGGGACCAGAGAGGCCCCAGAGCCAACCTAGCCCTCGCCCTCTGCAGCCCGGCCTCTGGCCCTGCATGTGTGTGTGCGTGTGCGTGTGTGTGCGTGTGTGTGTGTGTGTGTCGGGGGGAGAGACACAGGGAGGCCTCACAGGACGGGGCAGGACCCATCAGAGCCCCAGACGCACCCGCTGCGAGGGGAGTCTGCTGTTGACATGGCTTCCCCAGGGCCGAGGGCCAGGGCGCTAACAGACGGGCTGCCCCAGGGGGACGCGGACAGGAGACTGGACCGGGGGCGGTGCTGACCACTCTCGGCCTGGTGGGCACTGAGACCCCCCCCACATCCAGGTCTAGGAGAGCTGAGTGGCTGGGGTTGCAGGGACTCAGGTGGGGTGGCCCCAGGCAGGGGAGAGGGATGGACACGCACCTTCAGCTGCGTCCGGATGTTGTCATGCTGGAGGCGGGAGGCCCATTTCTGAGTCACCTTGTGGTCCCAGGAGCAGAAAACGGTGATGGCGTGGGCCCCCAAGGTGCTGCCCACCCGGTAGCTCTCCCCGAAAGAGTGGGACATGCTGTGAGGACGGGGGGGGGGGGGGGAGAGGAGGGGAAGGTGAGGGTGGGGAGAGGAGGCTAAAAGGCAGCAGGACCTGGCGCCTGGTGTGGGCCTGTGGCTGCTCTGGGACAGCCCTGTGCAAGCACGGTGCCCACCAGGGCCGCCTGGCTAGAAGGGTCAGACTGGACCCCAGACAGGGCCAGCCGCTCTGGCTGGGACAGGGCCGCTCCAGCTGGGACAGGGCCGGCCACTCCGGCTGGGACAGGGCCGGAGAAGGTCAGCTCACCTCTGGCCCTTTGCACTGACTCTCCCAAAACCAAATTCCTTCCTCTCCTTCCCTGAACCTGCCTCTGAGGCCGGGGCCCCTCCCCTGGAAGCCAGCCTGACTCCTCCCCAGTGCTCCAGGAGTCTGGGCACACACCCAGCCTCTCCTGGTCTTCTCCTCCCCTGACAGCAAGCGCCTCACTTACCTTCCTGCCCCACACACATGAGTGTTTCTGGGAGGGAGGGGCGGTGGGTGGAGGGTGGGTGGAGGGATGGATGAGTGGGTGGGTATAAGGGGGGATGGAGGGATGGGTAGAAGGGTGGACAGATGGGTGGATGGATGATGGATGGGTGGGTGGATGGGTGGGTGGATGGATGGATGAATGGGTGGGTGGATGGGTGGGTGGATGGGTGGATGGATGATGGATGGACAGATAGATGGATGGATGATGGATGGGTGGGTGGATGGGTGGGTGGATGGATGGATGAATGGGTGGGTGGATGGGTGGGTGGATGGATGGATAAATGGATGGATGGATGGATGGATGGATGGATGGATAGATGGATGGACAGATGGATGGATGGGTAGAAGGGTGGAAGGATGCATGATGGATGGGTGGGTGGGTGGATGGATGGGTGGGTGGATGGGTGGGTGGATGGATGGATGAATGGGTGGGTGGATGGGTGGGTGGGTGGATGGATAAATGGATGGATGGATGGATGGATGGATGGATAGATGGATGGACAGATGGATGGATGGGTAGAAGGGTGGAAGGATGCATGATGGATGGGTGGGTGGGTGGATGGATGAATGGGTGGGTGGATGGGTGGGTGGGTGGATGGATGGGGGGGTGGATGTATAAATGGATGGGTGGCTGGACGGATCAGTGGTGCCGGAGGCCATTACCTGTAGACCAGGGTGAGGCAGGTGATGAAGAAGGCAGCGCCCATGGTGAAGAGGTAGGCCAGGGGCATGTTGTAGGGCAGGCTGGCTGCCTCGGGGGCGCACTGGCCGCCATCCGGCGGGCCGGCGCACGGCTGGTTGAGGGTGCCATTGCTGTAGTAGCCGTAGTACATGACGGTGTCCGTGAAGCGGCCCTGCGAGGGGAGGCCCGGCCGGGTCAGGGACTCCCGCCCCACGCCGGCCCTCCGGGGGCAGAGGGGGCGCAGGACGCTCGGAGGTGGACAGCAGGCCTCGGCCGGCCCCGGCCCCACAGGCATCGGGACAGGAGAGCTGCCTAGGCCCCCCTGGAGGCACAGCGGGGGGGTCTCCCCAGGGAGGCCAGGGGGTGCCCACGGCCCCATGCCCCTAGCCCTCACCCCTCCGGTGAGGAGCTCCAGGCCGGTGAAGGCGGGGTGCGGGCCCCGGGGCGCGGGCGGGAAGGCGGTCTGCACGCCCACGAGGAAGGCCAGCAGGGGGAGCAGCAGCAGCACGTTGAAGGCCAGCAGGGTCTTGAGGAACAGGAAGTAGGACAGCACGCTGGAGCCGAACTGGCCTCCGATGCGCTTCAGGGCGTAGTGCCAGGGCGCCAGGGCCTGCAGCCCCGCCAGCAGCGCCAGCCCCAGGTCGTGCAGGGCCTGCGGGGACAGCACCGGTCCTGAGGCGGGTCCCGGCGAGCACCGCCCCGGAGGCGGGTGCCCGGCCCAGCTGCCCCCTCCCCCAGGGGCGCCCGCGGAGACCTACCAGCGCGCAGGCGTAGCGGAGGCGGCTGCAGCAGGCCAGGGGCCCGGGCCGGCCGCGGCTCCTCCTCGGGGCCCGCGTCTCCTCTCTGCGGCAGAGGCGGGCGTCAGGGCCGGCCCAGGGCCCCACGCCCCCCCGACGCCCTGGGCCCAGGCGGGCACTGACCGCAGGCAGCGCTTCTCGGCCAGGCTGAGGGGCATCCCCCGGAGCATGTGGCCGCGCTGGGCCAGCGGCAGGCCCTGCAGCTCCTTCACCAGCAGCACCCGCTTTTCTGCAGGAAAGAGCCGGCGCCCGTGGGTGCCGAGCACCCTCCCGCCCGCCCTCCTCCCGCCGCTGTGGCCTTGCCCCTGGACAGGCCGGCCTGCTGCCCACCCCAGGCCCCTGCCCACCGACCCAGGCCTGCACGGTCTCTGTCTCGGCCATGAAGACACCCTTCCTGTCCCCCACACACCCCCGAGCACCCCCTAAGTCCCCGCCTCCTCCCAGTGCCCGGCTCCTGGGCCCCCTCTCCTCCCGGCCCCCCACCACCTCGGCCTGGTCCCCAGCGGCCTGGCCCCCCGCCGGCCGGCCCCGCCCCCGAGCCCGGCCGCTCACCCTCCTCGGCGAGGGCCGTGGCGTCCAGCTCCAGGTCGTACAGGCGGAGGCTGGGCCGGGCCGAGCGCCCCAGGCCCCGGAGCGCGGGCCGGCTGCCCCGGCGCCGCAGCCGCACCGAGCGGTTGTAGAACTGCGAGATGATGGCGCCGCGGCTGCAGCCTGCGGGCACCGGGCACCGGCCGTCAGCGGCTGGGCGCAGAGCCGCCCCCCCCTCCCCCCTCCCGCCCAGGCCCTCGCTGCCCGGTTCCCAGGGCCTATTTTTATCCGGTGACGCCCGGAGCTGCCGTCCGGCCGGGCTGGGGGCAGCGGGCGGGAGGGGGGAGGGGGGGCGGCTCTGCGGACACAGGTGCCCTGACAGCCCAGCGGCCAGGGGCTGCGGCCAGGCCGGGCTGGGGGCAGCAGGGGGGAGGGGGGGCGGCTCTGCGGACACAGGTGCCCTGACAGCCCAGCGGCCAGGGGCTGCCGTCCGGCCGGGCGCAGGCAGGGGTGGCCGCTCACCAATGGTGCGGCTGGGCATGCTGGCCAGGATGCGTAGTGTGGCCGTGCTGTGGGCGGCGGCCTCGGGCGCCTGCAGGGCCTGGTGGTGGCTGGCTGTGGGCAGAGAGCCGCGTCCAGAGCACGGCCACCTCCCACCAACCCCCCAGCCCGCCGCCTCGGGCCCGGCCGGGCCTGCTCACCCGCGGCGCCCGCGGCTCCGGGACCCGGCGCCCGGGCCTGCAGCTCCAGCCCGTCCTCCCCGGGCCCCCGGCTCTGCTCCTGGATGAGCTGGTGGAAGGAGAGGTGCAGCTCGCTCTCCTCGCTCTCTTCACCGCGGCTGCTGGAGAGGGGGGAGGGGGAGGGGGGAGAGGGAGGGGGAGGGGGAGGGGAGGGGTGGGAGAAAGGGGGAGGGGGAGGCTGAGCAGGTCTCCCCGGGGCGGCCCCTCCAGCCCACAGCCCAGCGCACTTACCCCTGGTCCTCGGGGGCCTGGGGGACATGGAGGACGAAGGCCATGCCTGCCGCCCACGCCTGCCCGGCTCAGCCTCCGGAGCCGCTCAGAGCCGCCTGCTGCCCATCTGCTGGGGAGGGAGCCGGTCCCACACGGCCTTCCAGGCCTGGCCCCCGGCCAGCCGGCCGCCCCCCCGCCCGGCCCCGGCCACAGCCAAGCACACGGTCAGGTGAGTGGCCCCAAGCAGGCCCAGAGTGGACGGTGGGACCCCCCTCCGGGGCCGGGGAAGTGGAGGGCGGGAAGGGAGGTGCTGTGGGCGCGGACCTCTCTGGGGTGAGAAGTTCAGGCAGCTCTGAGGCCTTGGCTGTGCCCGCCCGTAACCCCGCTGCTTCCTCTCACAGGAAACCCTCCCTCCCGCCCGCCTCAGCCCTGCAAAACAGCCTGAGCCACCTCCTCCCCCACCCGCCCAGCCAGCAGCCCCCAACACACCCAGCGGGGACCCCCACCCCCGCCGCAGGGCTGCAGGCACAGCTCAGGGGGCGCAGGCTGCCGGGTAGCCGGCGGGGGCGGGCCGGTGGTGGACAGGCTGCCTTTGTCCAGCCGGGCTCGGGGCGGAGGGCCCTGCTGATGAGCCAGGCGGCCTCGTCCGGGCCGTTCCCGAGGGCGGGGGGCGGGCACAGCAGCTCCGCAGCTGCCTCTGCAGGGTCTGCCCGCCCGGCTGAGGCCCAGCCTCGGCCCCCTGTCCCCGCCCCCCGCCCCTCCCCCGGACACTGCCTGGGACGGGGCGGGTGCCCAGGCAGAGCAGGTCCTGCGGGCACTGTGCCCATACAGGGTCCTCACTCTGGGTGCCCAGGCACCCACCCAGTCCCGGCCCCTCCCCCTCTCAGCAGAGGGTGGGAGGGGTCCCACTCAGCCTGGAAAGGGGTGGAGGGCACAAATGGCGGGCCACCTTGTCCTTCAGCCAGATCCTCCCACGCCCAGCTCCGCGGGCCTCCCCACCCCCTCTCCCCACAGGACAGCGGGGGGAACAGGGGGGCGCTGGGAGAAGCTAAGGCCTGGGCCCAGCAGCCTTTCCCGGGGATGGGGCTCACCTGGGCCCTCTGGCACTGCCCGGGACTGACTGGCTGGCACCCCACTTCAGGCCTGGCAGGTCCGGGGAGTTTCCGGGTGCACCATTCCTGAGCCCTGAGCCAGGCAGGGAGGGGCGGGGTGGGGCCCGTCAGGCAGCGAGTCCACGGAGGGCAGCCCATACCTGATGCCCGATGCCCAGGACCAGCCGCAGCCGGGCCTCTGCCAAGGGACCCGCCTCCTGCCCGGCCCATCTCACCCTCCGGGGCTGTGGTCCCGGCCCCCACCCCTCCCACGTCAAACCGGGGACATGGGGGAGGGAGCTCGGCGGCGCCCAGGGGCCCAGAGGTTGGCGGGGCCTAGGGCTGGGGGAGGCCACCACCCCCAAGCCCCGACCTGGGCTCTTACCTGGACGCGGCTGGAGGCGGCCAGAACCGGAAAGCGGATGGCACAGAGGGTGGGGCTCGGCCTCGGTCAGGGGGCGGGAGAGAGGCCGGGCGGGCCAGCCCGAGGCCAGAGCTGCACTGCCCACGTGGAGGCAGGGCCCTGGCTACTGGGCGGGCTGGGCCTGGGAAGGCCAGTGTCCACACCGAACCCCACCTCTGGCTCTAGTCCCGCTCTCTGTGGGGCTGGAGCTGCGTTTGGGGACGATAAGGGCCCGCCCGCCCGGCCGGCTGGTTATCTGAACGAGCAACAGGGCCGCGGAGCCGCACCCGGGCCTCGGCCTTGCCACACCGGGTTGGGCAAGTCCTTCCTTTAACTCAGGCCCCGCGGACCGTTAGCTCCCTTGGGCCCCTCTGGGCGTGGCCCCGGGGATTGGCCAGACCAGACAGGGCGGCGCTTCCTGTTGCTGCCGGGGAGGGGGCCGTCCCCGTGGCTTCCGGCTCCTCCGCACGAGCCAGGCCCCGGCACAGGCCGCCCAGTTCGCAGATGAGAAAACTGAGGCAGAGGGGCTCACCGGCCCCCGGGTGTCCCCCAGGCCGGGGTCCTGTCCGCCGGGGGCGCTGCCCAGCAGCCTGGCCTTAGGCCGCCGGGCAGGAGGCCAGAGGAGGGGTGAGCGGGGGCTGGGGGCGGGGGGGGGGGGGGCGTTAGGTCCGAGAAGCCCTGAGGGCGGCAGGAGGAAGGGAGCCGAGGAGGACACGGGGCGCCCCCCGGAGGGAGGGACAGGTGGACAAGGCCAGGCCCGGAGGGAAACACGAGTGCAGCTCGCTGGGGGGGGGGGCTCTCACGCAGCCGTCAGCGGCCTCAGGCGCTGTCCAGGCGGGCTCTAGGCGCCGGGCGGGCGGCTCAGCAGGGAGCCCGTCTCTCCTCCCACTCTCCCCACCCCGAGGCCCGGCCTGCTGCCTCGGGGAGCCTTCCTGGCTGGGCCCAGTGGGACCCCTGCCCGTCTGTCTGCACTGGGTGCCCAGCACCTGCCCCACCGGATGGGCACCGGCCGGAGGCAGGAGAGCCCCTGGCGGAGAGAGGGGGCAGGGAGGGGCAGGACCCCAGGCCTCGGGGGTCCCAGGAGAGAGACGGCCAGGTGACTCTCACCCCTTCCGGGTGGAGTTAACACGCCCTCCGGGGGCCGCCGGGCCCCACCACCCCCACCCTCCTCACCAGCACCCCCACCCGCAGGGGCCAGGCTCCAGCTCCCCAGCCGGAGGGAGGGGGCCGGGGCCGGGGGAGTGGGCTCTGACCTGTCTCTCGCCCCTGGGGCCGGGGAGGTGCAGCCGCAGGAGGGGGCCCGGAGTCGGGGGCTGCGGGCACCACGCGGGGAGGGGACGCCCCCGGCTGGCAGGAAGCTGCCCGTGGGGAGCAGAGGAAACGGAGGTAGGTGGGGGGGGGGGGCGGCAGGGAGCGGGGTTCCTGTCATGTGACCGCCCTCTGCCGGCCGTGGTCCCGCGGGGGAGAGGGTCAGGGTCCTGGGTCCAGGCCCAGGTGTCGGGGACGTGCAGGGGGAGGGGAGAGTGGGGAGGGAGGGCTGAGGGCTGAGGCCCCGGGGCTGCTGGGCGGGGGTCCGAGTTGGGGCCACAGCGCCGGCCTGGCGGGGTCCCTCTGCCCCATGGGGCCCCCACCGATGGGCGGTAGCCATGCCTCCTCCTTGGGGGGCGGGTCCCTGCACGCTCAGAGGGGGGCTGCGGGCCGGGTCTGGGGACCAGGATGGCTCCCCAGGGAGTCAGCTGTGCAGGCCGGGGCCGGGTTGGTGGCCGGGGGCTGGGGGCTGGGATGGCTGCCGGGATGGGGGCTGGTGGCCGGGATGGGGGCCTGTGGCTGGGATGAGGGCCAGAATGGGGGCTGGGATGGGGGCCGGGGGCCGGGATGGGGGCCGGGGGCCGGGATGGGGGCTGGGGGCTGGGCTGGGGGCTGGGCTGGGGGCTGGGGGCTGGGGGCCGGGGTGAGATGGCCTGCAGCCATGGAGGAAGGGGCGGGCCTGGCCCACCCAGCTTCAGGTCCCAGTTGCTTTCGGACTATGCTCTCCCCGATGGGTGGGGCCATCGGGGACGGGGAGGGGGGGCCGGGCTCTCCCCGTGGGGTCGTCAGGACAGGGAGAGGGGGGGCCGGGCTCCCCCAGCATGTCCTGCCTTCCTTCCGCAGACGGCGAGATGCAGCCGGGGTCCGGGCAGCCGGGGCCGGGGCCGGGGCCGGAGGAGCTGTGGGAGCCGGAGGTGGAGTGGCTGTGCTCCTCCTGGGCGCCCCTGCGCTCACTGCCCTACGCCATGGCGGACCGGCGCTTCCTCCGGTGGGTGCCCCTGGGTGCCCGCGGGTGCGGGGCCAGGCACAGCCCCTGGGTGCCCGCGGGTGCGGGGTCAGGCACAGCCCGTGGGTGCCCGTGGGTGCGGGGTCAGGCACAGCCCGTGGGTGCCCGCGGGTGCGGGGCCAGGCACAGCCCAGGCTGAGGTGGGATGGAGGGTGGGGTGGGAGTCACCTGGTTCTGCCCCCGGGGTGGGCACGGTGGACTCAGGGTGCCCCATCACCCCCCACCAGGCAGCTGTGGGAGCCCGAGGGGGCCGAGGCCTCGTGCTGGCAGCGGTGGCGGCGGCGGCGGGCGGCCGCGGGGCGGCGCCTGCGGGAGGCAGCGCGGCGGCTGGCCCAGGGCTTCGGGCTCTGGAAGGGGGCGCTCTACGAGATCGGGGGTGAGAGCTGCCCCCTCCGCCTCCCCGCCTGCAGTCTGTGTCCACTGCTCCCCTCAGCCCCCTCCACCAGCCCGCCGTCCTCACCCCTCCTCAGCCCTCCTCACCCCTCCTCAGCACTCCTCACCCCTCCTCAGCCCTCCTCACCCCTCCTCAGCCCTCCTAAGCCCTCCTCAGCCCTCCTCACCCCTCCTCACCCCTCCTCAGCCCTCCTCACCCCTCCTCACCCCTCCTCACCGCTCCTCAGCCCTCCTCACTCCTCCTCACCCCTCCTCACCCCTCCTCACCCCTCCTCACCCCTCCTCACCGCTCCTCAGCCCTCTTCACTCCTCCTCACCCCTCCTCACCCCTCCTCAGCCCTCCTCAGCCCTCCTCAGCCCTCCTCACCCCTCCTCAGCCCTCCTCACCCCTCCTCACCCCTCCTCACCGCTCCTCAGCCCTCCTCACCCCTCCTCACCCCTCCTCACCCCTCCTCACCCCTCCTCATCCCTCCTCACCCCTCCTCAGCCCTCCTCACCCCTCCTCACCCCTCCTCAGCCCTCCTCAGCCCTCCTCAGCCCTCCTCACCCCTCCTCAGCCCTCCTCACCCCTCCTCAGCCCTCCTCAGCCCTCCTCAGCCCTCCTCACCCCTCCTCAGCCCTCCTCACCCCTCCTCACCCCTCCTCACCGCTCCTCAGCCCTCCTCACTCCTCCTCACCCCTCCTCACCCCTCCTCACCCCTCCTCACCCCTCCTCACCGCTCCTCAGCCCTCTTCACTCCTCCTCACCCCTCCTCACCCCTCCTCAGCCCTCCTCACCCCTCCTCACCCCTCCTCACCCCTCCTCACCCCTCCTCAGCCCTCCTCACCCCTCCTCACCCCTCCTCACCCCTCCTCAGCCCTCCTCACCCCTCCTCACCCCTCCTCACTCCTCCTCACCCCTCCTCATCCCTCCTCACCCCTCCTCACCCCTCCTCACCCCTCCTCACCCCTCCTCAGCCCTCCTCACCCCTCCTCACCGCTCCTCAGCCCTCCTCACTCCTCCTCACCCCTCCTCACCCCTCCTCAGCCCTCCTCAGCCCTCCTCAGCCCTCCTCACCCCTCCTCAGCCCTCCTCACCCCTCCTCACCCCTCCTCAGCCCTCCTCACCCCTCCTCAGCCCTCCTCACCCCTCCTCACTCCTCCTCAGCCCTCCTCAGCCCTCCTCACTCCTCCTCACCCCTCCTCAGCCCTCCTCACCCCTCCTCACCCCTCCTCACCCCTCCTCACCCCTCCTCACCCCTCCTCAGCCCTCCTCACCCCTCCTCACCCCTCCTTAGCCCTCCTCACCCCTCCTCACCCCTCCTGAACTGGGGCCCAACCCTGGTGGACGGCAGCACCCCCTGGTGGGCACAGAGGGGCTGCCGGTTGCAGGGCGCTGGGCCTGCTGAGCTCAGTGCCCCTGCCCGCCCGCTGCCCTCCCAGGCCTGTTCGGCACCGGGATCCAGTCCTACTTCACCTTCCTCCGCTTCCTGCTGATGCTCAACCTGCTGACCGCGCTCCTGACCGCCGGCTTCGTGCTGCTGCCCCTGGTCTGGCTCCGCCCGCCGGGCCCAGGCCCCGCCCTCAACCTCAGTGAGTGCCGGGCGCACCCCGGGGCCCGCACCCCGGGGCCCACACCCAGGGGCCCACACCCCGGGGCCCGCACCCAGGGGCCCGCACCCCGGGGCCCGCACCCAGGGGCCCGCACCCTGGGGCCTGCACCCCAGGGCCCACACCCTGGGGCCCGCACCCCGGGGCCCGCACTCAGGGGCCCGCACCCAGGGGCCCGCACCCTGGGGCCTGCACCCCAGGGCCCACACCCTGGGGCCCGCACCCCGGGGGCCAGGCACTGGGCTGGTCCTGGGCTCGGAGTGTTGGGACAGCCCCCACCCTCTGGGTCTCTGGGGTCCTCTCGCTGGGGTCCAGCAAGGACTCTTCCTGACCAGCCTGTTGCTCGGCAAGGGCCCCCCACCCCCGGGGGCTGAGGGCTGGGAGGGGGTGGGGCACACCCTCCCTTACGCCTTGGGAACCCCTTGCTGTCCTCTCCCTCCTCAGCAGCCCTCCAGTGCCCTGGTGGCCCCCAGCCCCCGCCCGCGGCTCCCAATTTCCATTCCCGGCTTTGGAACGTGTTGACCGGCAGGGTGAGTGGCTCCGGGAGGGACCCTCCCCTCTCCAGGCACCTTGTGGCTTTTCCTTATTTGCTTATTTGCTCGTTGATGTCAGAGAGGAAGGCAGAGGGAGAGAGAGAAACGTCCATGATGAGAGAGAATCATGGATCGGCTGCCTCCTGCAGGCCCCACAGTGGGGATGGAGCCCACGCCCCGGGCCTGTGCCCGGACCGGGATGGAGCCGTGACCTCCTGGTCCACAGGCGGATGCTCAGCCACGTAGCCACGCTGGCTGTGCGGCATTTTGGCTCTTGGGGGGGTGGCCTTACGTAGACAGACTGGCCAGGCCAGGGGTGGGGTCAGAGCTGAGGCCGCCGGGCACCAGCCAGGCCGGGCAGAGTGCCCACAGCGCTGGGCCCAGCTACATGGAGTGGGAGGGACACGAGGACCACGTGGGGACACGCGGGCAGGCTTCTGAGATGAGCACCCCGGCCCTCGTCCCCGGAAGCCACGTCGCCTTTCTCTGCCTCAGCGCTGAGCGGCCGCTGCCTGAGCCTCGGAGCCTCGGGAAGGGAGTCCGGCCCCACCCCCTGCCCCTGTCCCCGCCCCCCAGACCCGCCTCCCTGACGGGGTTACTGTGAGCCAGCGAGCACTCAGCTCCCACCCACGGGGACTGTTGCTCAGTGGTCCTCCCCACGGTCCTCCCCACGGTCCTCCCCACGGCCCAGGCCTTCAGCAACACCTACCTCTTCTATGGCGCCTACCGGGCGGAGCCAGAGGGCAGCTCCGCCTACAGCATCCGCCTGGCCTACCTGCTGAGCCCGCTGGCCTGCCTGCTGCTCTGCTTCTGCGGGACCCTGCGGCGGTGAGTGCCCAGCTCGCACCCTACAGACAGGCCGGACCCCGCCCCCGCCCTGGGCACAGGCCCGCCCACCGCCCTGGGCACAGCCCCCCCCCGCCCTGGGCACAGGCCCACCCACCGCCCTGGGCACAGCCCCCCCCGCCCTGGGCACAGGCCCACCCACCGCCCTGGGCACAGGCCTGCCCACCGCCCTGGGCACAGCCCCCCTGCCCTGGGCACAGGCCCGCCCACCGCCCTGGGCACAGCCCCCCCCCGCCCTGGGCACAGGCCTGCCCACCGCCCTGGGCACAGCCCCCCCTGCCCTGGGCACAGGCCCGCCCACCGCCCTGGGCACAGGCCCCCCCCGCCCTGGGCACAGGCCCCCCCCCCGCCCTGGGCACAGGCCCCCCCCGCCCTGGGCACAGGCCCACCCACCACCCTGGGCACAGCCCCCCCCCCCCCGCCCTGGGCCCAGGCCGCCCAAGCTGGCAGGAGGGTCCTGGCTCTCGCCCAGTAAGGCGCATAGGTGCTTCCTGGGGACAATCTCCAGGTCCGGCTGCAGCCCTCAGGGCCCCGGCCACTGCCTCTGGGCCCCCTCCCCCACCCAGGCCGAGGCCAGCGCCTGGCCCCGGGGCCACCAGGCCTCCCTCCCACCCCCCAGACCCAGAGTGGGCCCAGGCTGGCAGGCGGAGGCGCCCTCCCACAGGCCTGGCCTCCTGCCCCCAGGATGGTGAAGGGGCTGCCTCAGAAGCTGTTCCTGGGCCAGGAGTACCGGGCGCCGCTCAGTGCCAAGGTCTTCTCCTCCTGGGACTTCTGCATCCGGGGCCTGGAGGCGGCCACCATCAAGCAGCATGAGATCAGCAACGAGCTCAAGGTGTGTGTGTGGGGGGTGTGAGTGTGTGTGTGGGGCGTGTGTGTGTGTGTGTGTGTGTGGGGTGTGTGTGTGTGGGGGGGCGTGTTGTGGGGGCATGTGTGTGTGGGGGTGTGAGTGTGTGGAGGGCGTGTGTGTGGGGGCATGTGTGTGTGTGAGCACGTAGGGGCATGTGTGCACGCACGTGTGAACATATGTGCGTGAGTGTGTGTGAGCATGTGATGTGCATACATACGAGTGTGTGTATGTGTGTCGAGTGTGTACATGCATACACATGGTGTTGCACCAGGAGGCAGAGGCTGGGCGGGTGTGGGTGTCAGCTCACCTGCTCGCCTGCAGTGCAGGAGGGGAGGTAAAAGCAGCTCCGGGCCTGTCCCGCCCCAGGGTCACCCCAGGCGCCGGGACCCTGGCGCCACCTGCCTCGCTTCGCCCGCGCAGGTGGAGCTGGAGGAGGGGCGTCGCTTCCAGCTGGCGCAGCAGCGGACGCGGGCCCAGCGCGCCTGCCACCTGCTCTCCCACCTGCGGGTCAACGTCCTCTTCGGGCTGCTGGTGGTCGGAGCCATCAGCGCCATCTTCTGGGCCACCAAGTACTCGCAGGACAACAAGGAGGTGCCGGGCGCGGGCCAGGCTGGGCGGTGGCATAGGAGGAAGCTGAGGCTCAGGCTGGTTGAAGCAGTGTGCCCAGTCAGGGCCCAGCAGCCTGGCTCTCCCTGTGGGCAGCCCTCACCCGGGCCTTCCAGACTCGGGGGCCTGCCTGCCCCAGAGTTACCCTGCAGGGGTGTCGGGGAGGGGAGCTACCGGGCACCCAGCCCATGGCGCCCCCTCCCGTTTCCCCGCAGGAGACCCTGTTTGTGCTGCTCCAGTACCTGCCCCCCGGGGTCATCGCCCTCGTCAACTTCCTGGGCCCCCTGCTGTTTGTGTTCCTGGTGCAGCTGGAGAGCTACCCGCCCAACACCGAGGTCAACCTCATCCTTGTCTGGTGAGCGCCGCCCTGGTGCCAGGCGGGACCCCGGCGCAGGCGGGGCGCTGAGGCCTGGGAGCAGCTGCCCCACCTGGTGGTCTCCTGGCACCAGGGTCCCAAGCAGGGCAGGCAGAAAGGTGCTTTCAGAACACTCCGTCCCCGGGGGCCCTGGTGGGACATCCCCTCTGCCCAGAGCCGGGCAGCGGCCTGGACCAGACGCCGGCCACGCCGTGGAGGGTCCCGCGGCTGGTTAGCCAGCGGGTGTTGGGCATGAACCAGCGTCACACACGTAGGGAAATCAGGAACATGGGGTGCACACAGTTCTGGGGCGCCCGGGGGCCTACAAACCTTCCCTCGGCAACCCCCACGTGACCTGTGAAGTCAGAGCCTCCTCATCCCCTTTGGACGAGGAAGACACCGCGGTTCACAGGGAACAACTGCATTGGCCAAGGTCAAGCTCGCCGTAGCACGCACGTGTGTGGACACCGCAGGCGGTGAGGGGGCGGGTGTCAGCGGGCCGAGGGCCGCTCTCCCCTGCCATCAATAAGGACGGAAAGGCCCATCTGGGCCGGTGCGTCTCCAAGCCCAGCCGTGCAGTGTTTCCCAAACGGATGGACAAACAGAACCCTTCTCCTGTGAACCACCCGGCGGCCAGCGTGCCGGGGAACACACTTTGGGGACCGTGGCCGCGGCGGGCGGGTGGGAAGGAGGCTGGGCTCGGAGGGTAGCAGCCACACCCACACCCGGCCCCGGCCTGCCTGCCCGCCCGCAGGTGCGTGGTGCTGAAGCTGGCCAGCCTGGGCATGTTCTCCTTCTCGCTGGGCCAGACCGTGCTGTGCCTCGGCCGCAACAGGACCAGCTGTGAGTCCCACGGCTACAACGCCTGTGACTACCAGGTGCCTGGGGCTCCCTCCCGGGCCTGTCCCTGTGGGCATCCCCACCTCTGACCTCCTGCCCCTCTGACCTCCTGGTTCCTCCAGGTCTCCCGTACTTGGGCCCACCTCCAGGGGGTGCTGTTTGCACCACACGGCACAGTGCGGGGTGGCAGCCCGGGGGGTCGGGTTTCCCTGCGTGACTTACCCTGGAGGGGGGGCTCTGACAACAGTCCTACCAGCCTCCGGGCAAGGCTCCTGTCCACAGGATGCCCCCCAGGTGGGTGGGTGAGTGGGGGTGGGCCCGGGGGGTGACCAGAACCCCTCTGCCCAGTGCTGGGAGAACTCGGTGGGTGAGGAGCTGTACAAGCTGAGCACCTTCAACTTCCTGCTCACCGTGGCCTTCGCCTTCCTGGTCACCCTGCCCAGGCGGTGAGCCACGTGGGGACCCCATGGGAAGGGGGGGACTGGGCATGTCTGGGGTGGCCAGTGGCTGCAGCCGGGCGAGCAGTTCTGCATGTGTGTGTCCGTGTGACTGCAGTTCTGCATGTGTGTGTCCGTGTAGCTGCAGCTCTGCATGTGTGTGTCCGTGTGACTGCAGCTCTACACGTGTGTGTCGTGTAGCTGCAGCTCTGCACGTGTGTGTCGTGTGGCTGCAGCTCTGCACGTGTGTGTCCGGGTGGCGGGTGTGGGTGGGCCGGCCGCTCGCTCCTCGGGTGGTGAGCCGGCCCTGTGCCCAGGGTGCTGGTGGAGCGGTTCTCGGGCCGGTTCTGGGCCTGGCTGGGCCGGGAGCAGTTCCTCGTGCCCACGAACGTGCTGGACATGGTGGCGGGGCAGACGGTCGTCTGGATGGGCCTCTTCTACTGCCCGCTGCTGCCCCTGCTGCACAGCGTCTTCCTGGCGCTCACCTTCCACATCAAGAAGGTGCGGCCGCGGGGCGGGGCGGGCGGGCGGGAGGGCAGGGAGCCCCGGGCGGCACCCTGAGGGCTCCTTTCTGCCTCTGCCTCGCCCCGTGCCCCGCCCGCTTCCCTGGGCCCGCTCCGTGGCTTCTGCCAGCGGGAGCTGACGGCCGGTGCTTGCTCCCCAGTACACGCTCCTGAGGAACTGCAAGGCGTCGCTGCGGCGGTTCCGAGCCTCCAGCTCCACCTTCTTCTTCCAGCTGGTGCTGGCGCTGGGCCTGCTGCTGGCCACCGTGCCGCTGGCCTACGTGGTCAGCAGGTGCGGGCCGAGGGCGGGGCCGAGGGCGGGGCCGGGGGCGGGGGGAGGCTGGCGGTGGGCGGAGGCGGAGGCGGAGGCTACGGGCGGGCGGAGGCTGGGGGGGGAGGGCAGGTGGGGGGGAGGGGAGGCGGGGGGAGGGGAGGCAGGGGGGAGGGGAGGCGGGGGGAGGGGAGGCGGGGGGGAGGGCAGGCGGGGGGGAAGGGGAGGCGGGGGGAGGGGAGGCGGGGGGGAGGGGAGGCGGGGGGGAGGGAGGCGGGGGGAGGGGAGGCTGGGGGCGGGCGGAGGCTGTGGGGGGGGCAGGTGAAGGGGAGGGGAGGCAGGGGGGAGGGGAGGCTGGGGGCGGGCGGAGGCTGGGGGGGAGGGCAGGTGGGGGGGAGGGGAGGCAGGGGGGAGGGGAGGCTGGGGGCGGGCGGAGGCTGTGGGGGGGAGGGCACGTGGGGGAAGGGGAGGCGGGGGGAGGGGAGGCAGGGGGGAGGGGAGGCTGGGGGCGGGCGGAGGCTGTGGGGGGGGCAGGTGAAGGGGAGGGGAGGCAGGGGGGAGGGGAGGCTGGGGGCGGGCGGAGGCTGGGGGGGAGGGCAGGTGGGGGGGAGGGGAGGCAGGGGGGAGGGGAGGCTGGGGGCGGGCGGAGGCTGTGGGGGGGAGGGCAGGTGGGGGAGGGGAGGCGGGGGGAGGGGAGGCGGGGGGAGGGGAGGCGGGGGGAGGGGAGGCGGGGGGAGGGGAGGCAGGGGGGAGGGGAGGCGGGGGGAGGGGAGGCTGGGGGCGGGCGGAGGCTGGGGGGGAGGGCAGGTGGGGGAGGGGAGGCGGGGGGAGGGGAGGCGGGGGGAGGGGAGGCTGGGGGCGGGCGGAGGCTGGGGGGAGGGCAGGTGGGGGAGGGCAGGTGGGGGGAGGGGAGGCGGGGGGAGGGGAGGCGGGGGAGGGGAGGCGGGGGGAGGGGAGGCGGGGGGAGGGGAGGCTGGGGGCGGGCGGAGCTTGCGGGGTGGACGGCAGCTCGGGGTGGGAGGCGGCCCTGACGCTGGTCTCTCCGCAGCATCCACTCCTCCCAGGGCTGCGGCCTCTTCGCCAACTACTCGGCGCCCTGGCAGGTGGTGCCGGAGCTGGTGGCGCTCCGGCTGCCGCCCCCCGCCCAGCAGGCCCTCGGCTACCTGGGCTCCCAGGCGTTCAGCTTCCCCCTCCTCATCCTGCTCAGGTACCCTGGGGAGCGGGGGCCGAGAGAGGCCCGGGAGGGGGTCCTTCCCTGGCACCCCAGTCTCACGGGAGCCGGACACAGCCAGGAGGCAGGGCCCGGGAGGTGGTCAGTCTGGCAGCCCCCGGGGCCTCACCTGCACCAGCCCCTCCCCGACCCGGGAGGCCCGTGCCGGACGCAGGTGCTGGAAACTGGCGAGGCCTGAGGAGGGGGAGCCGGGTCTGCAGACCCAGGCAGAGCAGACCCGGGAGGAGGGAGGAGGAGGTGTGGGGGTGACTGACCTGGACCCCCTCCGTCCAAAGCCTCGTCCTGACCGTGTGCGTCTCCCAGTCCCAGGCCAACGCCAGGGCCATCCAGGGGCTGCGGAAGCAGCTGGTGTGGGTGAGTGAGAGCGGAGACCCTGTGGAGGGGTGCGGGCCGGGCCGGGCGGGGAGCGGGACCGTGGGGGCCGGGCCTGACAGGAGGGCGGCCGGGGGCGGGCCGGGCGCTGCTGGGGGCGTGGTCTAGGACCGGAACAGGGCGTTAGGGGCGTGGCCTCGCTCGGGGAGGCGGGGCTTGTGCTGGGGCGGGGGGAGGGGGGGCGGCTCCGGGGGGCCGGGGGGTCGGGGGCCGGGGGACCGGGGGGCTGGGGAGAGTTGGGGGGCCGGGGAGAGTTGAGGGGCCGGGGGGCTGGGGGCCGGGGGCTGGGGGGCTGGGGAGAGTTGGGGGGCCGGGAGAGTTGGGGGGCCGGGGAGAGTTGGGGGGCCGGGAGAGTTGGGGGGCCGGGAGAGTTGGGGGGCCGGGGGGCGGGGGGTCGGGGAGAGTTGGGGGGCCGGCGAGAGTTGGGGGGCCGGGGAGAGTTGGGGGGCCGGGAGAGTTGGGGGGCCGGGAGAGTTGGGGCGCCTTTGTACCGGCCGGCGCTCCGCAGCAGGTGCAGGAGAAGTGGCACCTGGTGGAGGACCTGTCCCGGCTGCTGCCAGAGCCAGGCCTCGCGGACTCCCCGGGGCCCACATCCCCTCGCTCTGCGTCTTCTCGCCCGCGGTCCTTGTGCCCCGGATTCCCCTGCCCGGGCTCCCCGGGGCCCAGGTCCCCCCAGGCCCTCAGGCCCCCCAGGCCCTCCCCCTCCCCCGCGGATCCCGCCTGTAGGTTCCGCTTCCCCAGCAGCTCGGAGCTGTAACACCCACCCCCACCCCACCCCCCCACCCCATCCCCCCAACCCCCACCCCCACCCCATCCCCCCCTAACCCCCCCCCACCCCACTCTGTGTGGAGCCTCCCCGCCCCCCTGTAGCCCCACTGCCATCCCCCACCCCCACCCCAACCCCCACCCCTACCCCCAACCCCACTCTTTCTGGAGCCTTCCCGCCGCCCCAGAGTCCCCACCGCCCCCCAGAGTCCCCCGGACCCCACGCCCTGCTCCCCGGTGACGCCCCAAAGTGGGTTCACACACCCCAGGGGGCAGGAAGAAAAATGGAAGTTTGTGTTTATGGTCTATTTTTTTTATTTCTTTGTATAGCTTGTGTTTTTCTTATTTCTTTAAGTTTTGTATTTTGTTGGCTGTTTTGTAATTAAAACATAATACGTTGGTATAATAACCATGAACACAAGTTATAAACTCTCATGGGGAGGGCTCGGGAAGCGCCGTGGAGAATGGGAGGCCCTCGCCCGTGGGGGGTCAGCCTGGCAGTCAGAGCCCCCCGCAGGGCACACGCCCGAACCCGGCACCACTTCCTGAACCAGACCCCCCAGCGAGCGCCCCAGCGGTCATTCCCCTTCCCCCTCCCCAAGGCTCCCAGGGCTTACCGGTCTGAGGGCGGCCTCTCCCCTGTGGTCCCCACCGCCTGCCTTCTCCGTGGGCGGCCCTGCTTGCCCCGGGCGCACCTGCTCCCCCCACACCCCGTGGAGCTGACCTTCAGAAATGGGGTGAAGAGGGCCCTCCAGGGCCCGCCCGGCATTGGGATGCCGGGTTTGTGACTCCTGAGTCTCTGGAAGCTTCTTTTTCAAAGCCGGAGGCTGCAACAGCTCTAAGTCCACGACTCAGCCGCCAGAACGCCCGAGACGCCGGCCCGTGGGTGAGCTGCGGGCCCAGGCGCAGCCAGCAGCCCGGTGACCTCCCAGCCAGGCCCACTTCCCCCAGGGGGACACCTCTGGCCCCAGGCTCCCAGGAGGAGAGGTCCGGAGAGACCCAGGACCTGCTTCCAAAGCCCCCCTCCACCAGGGGCCCCGCCGCTGGGTTCCAGGCCTGGGTGCCTCAGGCGCAGGCTTCCGCAGGCATTAAGGCGCTCTGCCCTCTGGCCTCACCCCCTCCTCACTCACCCAGCCTCACGGGACCGTGGCTGTGGGCACGTGGCTGTGGGCACGTGCTGGGCAGAGAGCGTGCCAGGGAACAATGGGGCTCAGTCCGGAGGCCCGGCCTGGCCCATGTGACCGTGACACAAACTCCTGAGCATCTGGGGCCCAGCTGTGGCTCCCAGCCGCAGCCTCAGCGTCGCCTGGGGGCTGGCTAGAAATTCGAATTCTCAGGCTCTGCGGTGGAGCGCTGACCTGTGAGCCAGGAAGTCATGGTTGGATCCCAGTCAGGGCACAGGCCCGGGTTACAAGCTCTGACCCAGTGGGGCACATGCAGGAGGCGGCCCATCCATAATTCTTTCTCATCATGGATGTTTTCCTCTCCCCCTACCTTTCTCTCTAAAATAAATAAAGAGAGAGAGAGAGAGAGAGAGAGAGAGCGCGCGCGAGCGCGCGCTGTAAGGGCGGGGCCCAGTGGGTAAGCCCCTGGGTGATGGTGGTGCTGAGAGGGCTCAGCATCAGCCATGGAGGTCTCATACTTACCGCCCCTGTCCCTCCGGAGCTCCCCCTCCCTGACAGCCAGCCAGGTGGGAGGCAGCTCCGGAGCCGGGAGCCTGGGGGAGCCGGGAGCCTGGGAGCCGGCAGGCCTGGGGGAGCCGGCAGGCCTGGGGGAGCCGGGAGTCTGGGGGAGCCGGGAGCCTGGGCCACCCTGGGAGCGCCTGGGAGGGTTCTGTGTTCCTTACTCAGTGTCCCAGGGTGCCTGCCCTTCTTGGGAGTGCGCCCCCCCCTGCCGCCCCAGCTCAGGGGGGGCTCCAGCCCAGCTCCTGCGGGGGGGGGGGGGGTTCACCCAGCCTGAGGCCATGTTTCAGGGCTGAGCCCAGCACTGACACCCTGCAGGCACTTGAAGGTGCTCCTGAGGGAACCAGGGTGTCATGGTGGCAGCGGCCCCTCTTGCCTGCCTCTCTGGTGGGTGCAGCCTGTGTCAGATCTGTGGGGCCTGGGGGCCCTCAGGGTCACACCAGGGCCCCCGTAATCCAGGATGACCCCCACCCCCACTCCTCGGAGGCAGCGCCTGAAGCCTCATCCTGGAACAGCTGAGGCCCATCCGGGGCCCAGGCTGCAACCGCCCACCCAGCGCACAGCCCTGCGGGGTGTGGTGGAGGCTGCTGTCGGGGCCCAGCCCTGGTGCAGGGCCCCAGGGCCTCGGGTTATCTCCCCAACGCAGGTACCTGCCAGCGAGCATCCTGGGAGTCGGGGTGGCGGAGGGCCCCTGGGAGCCTCTGAGCCGGGCAGAGCCCCGCACCCACAGACGGCATGAGGCTCCCGCTGCTGCTCTGCGTGGCCTCGCTGGGTGAGCCTCGGGGCCTCTTGGGAGGGCCCCGCGCTGAGGGGGGTGCTGGGGCCCAGGAGAGGGGGGACTGCAGGTATGGCCCCCGGGAGCACAGGGCGCAGAGGCAAAGACGTGGGCCTCAGGCCAGCCGCAGGGCGTGTGTGGCTTCTCCGCTCCGGCCGCGGTTTGCACGTCTGGGAAACGGGCTGACGAGCCAGCCGTGGCTCGGAGGAGCCTCGCGAGTGAAGGCACTCAGTCCACCGGTGCCACCCCTGGGCTCAGGAGGAGGCCCCCTGGCTGCCGGCGGCCTCGCCCACCCCCCCTAACCCCCCCGTCCCCCCCTCTCACAGCCTCCGGCAGCCTCTCCGTGGAGCCAGAGGAAGGTGAGCAGCCCAGCGGGCGGGAGGGACAGGGGCCCCCAGCGGGGCCTGGGCTGGGGAGGGAGCTGCTGGCTGAGAGAGGGCGTCTGCTGATGGGCAGTCAGAAAGTCCTCAAGCCCCGCCAGCCCCCGCAGAGCTCGGGGGAGGGGGCGGGAGGCCAGGAGGGGCCTCCGGGGCACATGGGGCTGTGTGTGTGTCCCTGGGCAGGTGTGGCCCCATCACTCTGCCCCGGGTGCCATGTATGGAGCCGAAGCTGCTCCAGGAGGCTCAGGGCTCTGCAGGGTGGGTGTGACCCCAGGAAAGGGAGGGCGGGGAGGCAGTGAGCGAAGGGGAAGTCCAGCCCCCCGCTCCCCCCCAGGTGCAGCAATGGGAGGGCTGGGGACCTGGTCTCTGTGAGCCTGAGGGGGTGGGCTACAGAGCGGGGGAGGGGACATCTGGTCCAGACACCTCCTGGGCTTTGCCTCCACTTTCCCACTCTCCTCCCTCCCTCCCCTCCTTCCTGGCTCAGGTCTATCCCTGTGACCTTTAGGGTCAAGGTCAGGGTGGTGGGTCCTCCTGTGCGGGTCCCATGGCGGAGCTGCTCTTCCTGCCGTCAGGTCGCGGGGTCACTGAGCAGGCATCCGCCGGGGCCTGCACGGCGGGCCTCTGGCTGAAATGCCATTTCCTCATTTGCTCTGAAAACAAGCAGCGGTGGGTGGTGTTCTCGCTGACAGGGGGTGGAGCTCTGCGGCCAGGGCGCCTCTGGGGGCACCTGGCAGGCGGCTCCTCGCTCCGTCCCCACGAGTCTGCTCATGGAGCTGCTGGACCAACAGGCAGATGCTTCTTCGTTCACCCACTCGCTCACTCACTCACTCACTCGCTCAGCACACGCCGGCTGCACACCTGCGGGCGCGGGGCCTGCTCTGGCCCCCGAGGGAGGGAGGCAGGAGGCGCAGAAACACAGAGCCCTGCCCTCCCGGGGCGCATGCCCGCAGGCCGGGGGACAGGTGTGCTGGCCTGTGACTCTCCCCAGGAGAGCCAGTGGTGGAGGGAAGGCCGTGCGAGGGATGGGGACAGAGGAAGAGGGGAAGCTGGCCCTGAGAAGGGCCCCCAAGCCTTCCAAGCAAAGACTGCAGAGCAGGCCGTGCCTGGGGAAGGGCCCGCAGCCAGAGCGCAGGAAGCAGACGGGCGGGCGGGCCGCGGGGGAGGGCGGAGGGGCAGGGAGGCCGTGGGCGCAGAGGTGGGAGGTGGGATCTGCGCCTTCCGGGGCCTGGGGCTGCTGAGCTGAGGAGGGACCCGGGGACGCAGGGTGCACCCAGAGGCACGGGGCCCCCGGGCCAGAGGCTGGTGATACACGGAAGTGGGGTGAGCCTGAGGCCGGGCCAGCTGACCGCGGGGGCGGGTCCCAGGGGGAGCCGTGAGGGCAGCCCAGGTGTGACCAGGTGTGCGCTGGCCGGAGCGCCTGCAGGGACCCTGCGGTGTGGCTGGACCGGCTGCGGGGAGCGGGAAGCGGGCAGAGGGACCGGGTGCGGAGGGAGCACCGTGATGCGCATGGGAGGTGACCTCTGTTTGTCCTGAGTCTGCCCGCGGGGATGGAGACGCGGGGGAGGGTGTCCTCAGGCGAGTGCGCTCTGTGGAGGGCCCAGGGCGCGTGCCAACGTGGTGCTGCGCCCCTGCACCGGGCCGGGCTCAGCCTGCACCGCACGTCCCAGCACAAAACGCAGGAGACGGGTCCGACACAGGCGAGCCCGGGCCACGGGGACGCCCGCCCCTCAGCCTCAGGCCCCGGAGCATTGCCACCAGGAAATTCGAGGGCGCCACGGACACATGGGGAGTTTAAATTCGAGGCTCGCTCGGGTTTAGGGGGGCGGGGGCGGACGGGTGAGGGGGGCAGGGGCGGACACCGGATAATGCACCGGCTGCACCCGGGTGGGTAGCAGGGGAGCTGCAGCGGAAACTTATGTAAATCAGGGCCCACGAATAGAAATGAAGGGCCGGCTTCCTTTCGCTTTTACTCATGGGGAAGGGAGCGGGGAGCTGTGGGCGCCTCTGCCCGCACCCGCCCTCCCCGGGAGGGGGAGGCTGGCCGGGAGCTGGGCTTGGCCCAGGCTGGCACGGATGACATTATGGTAGCGATTTGCAGAATGGTGCCCAGAGAGTAGCTTCAGGTCCACGCACAGCTCAGCGTTCCTCAGGAAGCTTCTGCAGGGAACCTGCTCGAAAACAAGTCAGAAAATGGCAAGAGGCGCCCACGAGAGAGCGCCCTCCCAGGTGACACCCGGAGACACCCGCCCTGGCTGAGGGGCCCAGGCTGAGAGAAGGAGGCTCCGTGCCCAGAGACTGGGCTCCTGGGAGCCGCCCCCGGAGACCACACCGGGTCTGTTCCCGCCTCTGCTCAGCCAGGGGGTGCTGGCCCCGTGGTGTCCAGCCATCGTGCCGGAGGGCGATATCTGGGTTTCCAGGATGCATCCCTCTGCCCCCCCCCCACACACACACACACTGGTCTTGGAAGCTCACCGTTAAGTACACCCCACACACACACTGGTCAGAGGCAGGTTGTTTGGTCCGAATGGTCCATCCATGGTGGCAAATGCACGATGGGCAGCCAGAGAGGCCGATGGGCAGGCCTTGGAGGGCATGTGCCTCCCGTCCAGCCCGGACCTGCCGACAAAACAGTCACCACCACAGAGAGGAGGCCTGGGCGGGGACCCCCTGCAGGGAGCGGCTGGGAGAGGGAGGGGTTGGGGGGGGGCTTGTATGTTTTCTTAATGCTAAAGCTTGATTATTTTAGAAAATATATTTGTATTGATTTCAGAGACAAGGGAGATGGAGAGAGAGAGAGAGAAACATCAGTGATGAGAGAGAATCATTGGTTGGCTGCCTCCTGCACACCTTACCTTGGGGATCGAGCCCACAACCTGGACATGAGCCCTTGACTGGACTCGAACCCAGGACCCTTCAGTCCACGGGCCAATGGTCCATCCACTGAGTCACACCAGCTGGGGCTGAGTGAGGGTTTGCCCTGGGTCTCACGGAGGAGTGATCTGCGGTTCTGTGAGCATGCGGCCGGGCTGCTCTCCGGGGGACCCCGTTCTCTCTGGCTCAGCCCTTCCCCTGCAAGCCTGGGGTCCCTGTGCCCGTGGACCTGGGTCGCCACCTGCCCGCTGCCTTCTGACTGTCTCTCTAAACAAGATACTGGCCTCTCTGGGTGCCAGCACCCTTCATCCCTCTGGCCACTGCGCATGCTCAGGCCTCCATACAGCGCTGGGCCCCTGGGGGCCCGGTCCGCTTTGTCCCTCACTGTCCCCTTCCTGCAGGAACCCCCGGCCCGGTGCACCCTCAGGGACGCCTGGCCACAGGCAGCAAGGGGAGGCGCTGGGCCAGAGGGAGGCCACACTGCCACATGTCACTGGACAGAAACTGCCTTTTTTTTTTTTTTAATTATTTTTATTGATTTCACAGAGAGAGGGAGAGGGAGAAAGACAGACAGACAGACACATCAATGAGGAGAGAGAATCATCCATCGGCTGCCTCCTGCACGCCCCCCACTGGGGATGGAGCCCACAACCTGGGCCTGGGCCCTGACCGGGAATGGAGCCTCCGGGCCCCCGGGTTCACAGGTCGATGCCCAGCCCCTGAGCCGCACCGGCCGGGGCGTTGCAGTCCTTCCGGTGCATATGTGCGGGCGGCACTGCTGGGCGGATGGGGCTCCCGGTGTGACCTTCTGAAGCGCCGGCACACCAGCATGTCCTTCCCGCGCGTGGTCAGCGCTGGCTTTCTTCCCTCCTCCGTTCACCTTCCAGAACTCAGACCCGAGCTCTCCATCGCCTACCGGGTCCTGGAGGTCTTCCCCCGCGGCCGCCGCGTGACCATCACCTGCCAGGTGCCCGCGCCGATGCTCCGGCCCGTCACCTACACCCTCTGGGGGAGCCGGGACGTCGAGGTCGCCAGGAAGGTGGCCAGCACCCAGGAGCCCGCGTCCTTCCACATCAACGTCACCCTCAAGTCCAGGCCCGACCTGCTCACCTACACCTGCCAGGCCAGGACCTCGGGGGGCACGCGCCTGGCCAGCGCCCCGCTGCAGCTGTACTGGGAGCTGTGGGCCAGTGAGTGTGTGGGGGGCGGGGAGGGGCAGGGGCTGGGAGTGGAAGCCTAGGGGCTGGGGCAAGCGGTTGTCCCTCTTCAAGGGCCTCTCTCAGCCCCGTGGGGCCTGGCACAGGCGGGCATAGATCCTGGCTGGGCCCCCGGGGGGCTGGAGGGCCCGTGGCACAGCGCCCGGGCTGATAAAGGGCACCTGTGGGTTTTATCTGGCTTCATCTGCTCAGCAGCCGTGGGTGGGGCCGTGGTCCCAGCCTCTGGGGCTGCAGCTGGAGCCCTTGGAGATTAAGACAGTCGTCCCAGCCCCGGCCGACTAGTGGCAACGGTGGTTCCAATCCCACTGCACGGAGCTCCCAGTCCTGTCCTTCCCGGGCCACCCTGAGCTCCCCCAGAGCCCTTCCCGGCGGGAGGCATGGGCCCGGGGCTGGGACAGTGACCCCGGGCCCTGCACCGGAGACGGCCTGGGGATCAGAGCCCTCTGCCTGGAGCACTCCCGGTGGAGGGTTCAAACCCCACACTCAGGCTGTCACTCCCGCTCTCTGAGCCTCAGTTGCTTCACCTACAAAACAAAGATGGTAGCACCTAGTGCAGGGGTCCCGAGGGGCAGTGGGGGTTCAGTCAGGGGTCAGGATCGGAGCAGGCCTGGGGCTGTTCAGAGCATCGGGCGGAAGGCCTGGAGATTCTAGAATCTAGACTCTTGTGAGCAGCAGTTCTTGTCCTGACGGAGCTTGTGTTTCGTAGAAGATTGGAAGACGGGAAGCAGGATTGCCAGGTAGATGCCGCACAGGACATACTGCACTGACAGAGGGCGTGTGGTCGCCCTGGCCCAAGTGGCTCCGTGGGTTGGGCATTGGCCCATGCACAGGGAGGTCGTCAGTTCGATTCCCGGTCAGGGCATCTGCCCAGGCTGTGGCTCCCTCCCCAGGAGGGAGCATGCAGGAGGCAGCCGGTTGATGTGTCTCTCAGACATCGATGCTTCTCTCTCTGTCTCTACCCCTTCCTTTCACTCTCTGTAAAAATCAATGGAAAAGGATCCTTAGATGAAGACTTAAAAATAAAATTCTTCATTGTTTACATGAAATTCAAATTTAACTGGCAACCCAGAATATGCTACGTGAAACTAACACCGAATGAGAAACTGCCAAGACACTAGGCAGAGGGAGCAATCCAGAGGGCTGCCTGGAGGAGGCGCAACCACAGGCCTCCAGCGATGATTTTGGAACAAGGGAACTTGCTGGGGAGAGGGTGTCGGGGTCTCCCAGCCATGCCTGTGCTTCTTCCCCGTCCCACCTCCTCCCCCACCTCCCCACCCCCGCCTCCAGAGCCAGTGTCCCAGCTGCACGCCAACTTCACCGTGCTGGACAGAGAGACGGCCCCGAGGTTCGAGATTTCCTGCCAGGCGGCCTCGGGCAGCCCGCCCATCACCTACAGCCTGGTCGGGCGCGACGGGCACGTGCACGTGCGGCAGACGCCGCGGTACGGGCAGCCCGCCAACTTCTCCTTCCCGCTGACCCAGACGTCGGCCTGGCTGCGGTGCCAGGCCCAAAACGGCATCAGTGTCCAGAGCAGCCCCCTCACGCTGGCGCCCCCAGGTGAGAGGGCCCTGGTGTGCAGAGGCGGATGGGTGGGAGGTGCCAGAGCAGGGAAGGGCATCCGGAAGCAGCCATGCCTACCCTGGTCCTACCTGCCTCCCTCGCAGGCCAGCTGCCCAAGGCCCCCACCGTCGTGCTGGCTGCCAGCCTCACCTCCATCGCCGCCATCTCCTCCGGGATGCTGGGCTGGACCAGGTGGAACAGGTAGGAGGCGGGGCTGGCAGGGAGCGGCGGGAAGAAGAGCTGGCGGGCTGTGCGCACCAGCTGGAGAGCGGAGGGAGGTGGGCTCTAGGGCAGGGATGTCACCGGGCAAAGAGAGGACCGTAGCGCTTGTGGGCGCCCTGCAGGACCTACCGTGTGCCTCGAGGGCTTGCTGATTCAGGGCTCTATGTGGCCTTGACCCTGGTCCCCGCTGTCCTGCCCTGCAATGCAGTCAGCTCGCCTCTGGGTGGCACACTGGCCTGCGGGCTGAGGAGGGATGCTGGGATGGGGACAGGCCTGCTGGGACCGGGTTGGAGCAAGGGTTTCTGACCTCCATGGGAGCCACGGAGGCAGGGTGGGGCCTCCTGGGGTCCCTTCTGCCAGGTCATCATCTCAATGACGTGTAAAGTGACCAGGGCAGTGGATCCCAACCTGGGGCATGTACCCCTCAGGGGGACAATTTGATTTTTAAGGGGGGCCATTTGAGAATGAGTTATTAACAGTGAATTTTTATAATTTCAAATGATTTCAGGGGCCTCATATACAGTATAGAAATATATAGTGACATATTTATGCGTTTCAGGTCTCTATTACTTTGCAATTTTTTCATATCACTTCATATTATTATTATTTTTTCATATTATTATTTTTAACAATTTATTTTTAATATATATTTTTCTTGATTTTAGAAAGAAGGGAGAGGGAGAGAGGAAGAGAGAAGCATCAGTGATGAGAATCATTGATTGGCTGCCTCCCTCATGCCCCCTACTGGGGATTGAGCCTGCAACCCAGGCATGTGCCCTTGACCAGAATTAAAACCCCACCCTTAAGTCCGCAGGCTGATGCTCTATCCACTGAGCCAAACTGGCTAGGGCAATACTATTAACAACTTCTTAGTGATTTCCTCCCCAGGGCTTCCACTCTGCTTGATGGATGCCATGCTCTTTGTTTAGACCAAGCTCATGGCCTTAGGCTTCCTCCCTGTAACCAGGCGCTCACTGTTTGAATAAATAAGAATTCTGTGTCAGAGGGGTTTGGGGGAGGGGGATGGACATCAGGATGTTAGAGATGCTTGGGGGAGGGGGGACAAGAAAAGATGGGGGAGCCACAGGTGTTGTGTGACCACAGGCACCATCGGCCTCCGGGGCACAGACCCAGGCCCATCAGCTCCGCTCCCCTGCGCCCCCCCTCTTCCCTGGCACGGCCCCAGGGGTCTACCTGAGGCCCAGACCTTGTCTCTCTCAGGTCCCTTCCTCCAAGGCCAGACCCAGGGGCGACCCATGCCACCTCTCTGAGCCTGTTTCCCTTCTACAACAGGGGGTGCAGAGACCAGACCCATTCGCCATGGGACCTGGGCCAGCACTTGCCCCTGGGAGACTGGGCGCCCCCTTCACTCAGTGGGGTGACAAAGCCTCATGCCCTCCCCGGCCCGGGCACCGATGCCCCTGGCGCCATAAACTCCCAGAAGCCTTTGGGGGGGTGCTCCCTCACCCGAGTCTCACCCCCTTTGTCTTGCAGGTTGTGACCAGCAGGTGCAGGCTCAGAGCCCCCCACGAGGACCCCGTGAGTGAGGAACAGCCGCCAGCCCGGGCCCTGCGGAGGATTCCAGGATGGGGTGGGAATGCGGGGCCAGGGGGGACGCAAAGGCCCAGCTACACCCCCACTATGGCCACTTCCCCCCAAGGCTCCCCTCTTCCCGGAGGGGCACCCCGTCTCCTGGTGGCCCACCTGGCCAGCACCCCCTCGGTGACTGAGCGGCAAAGGAAGGTGCAGGGGTCCCGTCCTCAGCCTGCACCCTCCCTCCCCGCCTTCCCTGCTCAGTTGCTCTGACCCAGCCCAGGAAAGAACCGGATTAAACTGCCCCCACCTGTCGCTCTGGGACCCCGTTTCTGACGGCACCCCATCCTGGAGCCTGGCGTCTGAAGCCCCGCCGCCTTCACCACCGGGGGCATGGGGAGGGGGCAGCAGGGGAAGAACTGGGTGGTCTGCACCCACCCAGGCTCAGCTCCGGAGCGGCGGCCAGGGCGTGGGTGTGTGTGTGCTGGGGGCCTGGGCCCGGCAGGTGCGGCCCAGAAGGCTCCGGTCGGGCTTCCTGGAGGAGGCGGGGAGCGGGCGCCCAGGAAGGCGGGGCCGAAGGCAGGGGCCCTCCCCCGGGAGTCCCTCTTCTCCTGGGGACGCCCTGCCCTCTCGGGTCGCGCCGCGGCCAGCGTAGCGGGGACCAGACGCCGCCGCCGCCCGCACTTGGCCCTCCGTCCCTGGGGCCGCGCTGGCCACGCCCCGGGGCGGGGCCAAATGGGGCGGAGCTAACCAAAGGGGCGGAACTAGCTGGGGATGGGGCTAGGCGACGGGGGCGGGGCTATACGGGGCGGGACTAGAGGGCGGTGGGCGGGGTCATATGAGGGCGGGGCTAGTGGGCGGGCGGGGCGGGGCTCCGCTGGGGCGGGGCCAGCGGGCGGACGGGGCGGGGCTCCGCTGGGGCGGGGCCAGCAGGCGGACGGGGCGGGGCCAGCGGGCGGACGGGGCGGGGCTCCGCCGGCTCCTCGGCGTCCGCGGGCGACGGCGACGGCGGCGGCGGCGACATGGAGAGCGGGGCCTACGGCGCGGCCAAGGCGGGCGGCTCCTTCGACCTGCGGCGCTTCCTGGCGCAGCCGCAGGTGCTGGCGCGCGCCGTGAGCCTGGTGAGTCGGGGCGGGACCCGGGGCCCCTCCGCCCGGCCCGGCGCCCGCGAGCCGGCGGCGCGACAGGTGGCAGCGGCCCGGAGCCGCGGGGCGGGAGGCGGCGCGGGGCCGGACCCGCCACCCCAACCCCGGCTCGGCCGCCCCCGCCCAGCCCAGCCCAGCGCACCCCGGGCGCCTCTCCGCCGGCCGGGGCGCGGGGCCGGGCGCCGGGGGAGCAGGCCGGGTCCGGCCGGCGGTGGGAGGAGCCCGGGCAGCTCTGGGACAGGTGGCCGGCGGCCTGGGGCTCCCTCCCGGGCATCCACCTGGAAGGGGCTTTCCGGAGCCACGTGGGGTGGGGGTGGGGGTGGGGGTGGGGGTGGGTGGGCGCCCTGAAACAGGGCCTCCTGTCCGCGCAGGAGCGGCGCAGGTCTGTCTGCCGTCCACGGTCGGGTGACTCCAGGGTGCCTCCTCCCCTGAGCCCGGCGGGCCCGGGCACGGCTCCTGGGGGCGGGGAGTGGGTGGGTCCCCTGCTCCTGGGCCCCTGGCACCCAAAGCTGACCGGGTGGGCGGGCAGCAGGCTGGGCCCTCGGGGCTCACATCGGCCTGGGACTGGAGCTTTCGGTGCCCGGTGGCCCCGGGCCCCGCCATGCCGGCGGCAGGGACTGACCCCAGGAGCAGGTGCCCGTGGGTCGGGAGGGCAGTGCCAGGCGTTGGGCCTGGCACCCGGCTCCCAGCATCCTGGAGTTCCGGCTTCATCTGAGCCTGGGCGGGGCCTGCGGAGAGGCCGGTGCGGGCCGGGGTGCAGGGGCCTGGCCGCCCGGGAGCACACACCTGCCTCTGGGGGTGGGCGGGGGCCTTGAAACGTGGGGAGGAGACCAGGTGCCCGGGGCCTGTTCCCACTGGAAGCCCCGGGAGCTCACCCAGCACCTCGGCCCTGAGTGCAGACCAGCCTGCAGCACCCCTGGGATCAGCACCCACTCCGGAGCGGGGCTGGGGTTTTCTCGGAGGGGCGTGGCCAGGACGCCAGAGACAGGAAGTCCTTGTGGAGAGAAAGCTGGACAAACTGGGGAGGCCGGCCTGGGGCAGGGAAGTGGGAGGGGAGGGGCTGGGTGGCCGGGCGTCGCTGAGGGGTGGGGAGGCCTTCCTGCAGGGCATCGGGCAGGGGTGGGCGCTGTCCGGGTGACAGGCGGGTGACGGTGTGTGTGTGTGTGTGTGTGTGTGTGTGTGTGAGACTTCAGGCCTGAACTTTTGTGATTGTGTTTAAAACTCATTGTGCGTGCCCTGACCGGTTTGGCTCAGTGGATGGAGCGTCGGCCTTCGGACTGAAGGGTCCCGGGTTTGATTCCGGTCAAGGGCATGTACCTTGGCTGCGGGCACATCCCCAGTGGGGGGCGTGCAGGGGGCAGCTGATGGATGTTTCTCTCTCATCGATGTTTCTGACTCTCTATCCCTCTCCCTTCTTCTCTGTGAAAAATCAGTAAGAATATATTTTTAAATACCTCATTGTACGTGGAAGTGGCCAGATCGCCCCTCATGCCATCCCACAGGCAGCGGGCAGGGCAGTCCCCTCCAGGAGTTCCCCGTCCTTTCCTGCCCGGAATCCCCGCCTCCCCTCGCGGTGCAGCCTGTGTGCTGTGGTCTGAGAGGCAGGGCGCAGGGAGAAGTGAGAATGAAGGCCGCCCGCCGCCGCCCGGAGGCAGCTGGCTTACCGCCCCCCCCCCCCCCCCCCCCGCGTCCAGAGGGGCCGGGACGCGGGACCCCTCTAAGGCCGGGCCCCGCCATCAGCCCCGCCCCGCCCCCCGCAGGTCTTCGCCCTGATCGTGTTCTCCTGCATCTTCGGCGAGGGCTACAGCAACCCGCACCACTCGCACCAGCTGGCCTGCGTCTTCAACCACAACGAGGACGCCTGCCGCTACGGCAGCGCCATCGGCGTGCTGGCCTTCCTGGCCTGCGCCTTCTTCCTCGTGGTCGACGTCTACTTCCCGCAGCTCAGCAACGCCGTGGACCGCAAGTACCTGGTCATCGGCGACCTGCTCTTCTCAGGTGTCTGCTCCGGGAGGGGCGGGAGGGAGCGGCTGTGTCCCAGGCGCTCGGGGGGCAGGGGGTGGTCTCGGATGGCGGGGCGCCCTGGGAGCTGGCAGGAGGGGCGCCCTGGGAGCTGGCAGGAGGGGTGGGGAGAGGCAGAGGTCCCACCGGAGCAGACGGGCCAGAAGCCGGCTGGTGCCGAGCGCCGAGCTGGGCCTCGGAGCCAGGCTCCAGAGAGGGCCTCCCGGCCCCACCGCCCGCACCGGCTCAGGCCCTTCCGCTCCGGAGGCTCCTGGAGCTGACCCTGCCGCCCCCCCAGCTCTCTGGACCTTCCTGTGGTTCGTGGGCTTCTGCTTCCTCACCAACCAGTGGGCGGCCACCAACCCGGCAGACGTGCTGGTGGGCGCGGACTCGGCCCGCGCGGCCATCACCTTCAGCTTCTTCTCCATCTTCTCCTGGGTAGGCGGCCGGCCGGCGGGCGGGAGGGCGGGCCCCGGTGCAGGGCGGGGAGGGCGAGGAGGAGCCAACCCCCGACTCCCTGCAGGGCCTGCTGGCCGCCCTGGCCTACCAGCGCTACAAGGCCGGGGTGGACGACTTCATGCAGAACTACGTGGACCCCGCCCCGGACCCCAGCACAGCCTATGCCTCGTACCCGGGCCCTTCGGCCGACAGCTACCAGCAGCCTCCGTTCACTCAGAGCGCCGAGGCCGCCGAGGGCTACCAGCCCCCCGTTGTGTACTGAGCCCCGCGGGGGACGGTAACCGGCAGGGAGGGTCGCCGGGTTCTGGACCCCCCACCCCCCCGAGGCGTGCCTCCAGGGGCTCCGGCGCTCCTGCCCCCCCCCCCGTGCCCGGAGCACCCAGGCCCCAGGCAGCGCCCCCTCCTCAGGGCACCCAAAGGGTTTTTAACTAGACATTTGTCACTGCTTCTGATGGTCCCCGCCCCCTGGTAGCGAGCAGTGCCACCATGCTGTTCTGATCAGTGCCTTGTTTTCCCGAGCCCCCGGAGCCGGCCTGGCCCAGGCCCACGGGAGCTGGGCTCTCTGCCAAAGACGAGGCTGGGGGGCCTCCCACTTGCTGGTGCGAGGCTGGCTCTCCCTTCTTCCTCACTCAGGTCTGCCCGTGTCTGCCTCAGTGCCCTTCCCACTCCCAGAGGCTTCTGGGAGATGCCCTCGCTGGTGCCCCTCCCCTGCCTGCCCCAAGGCCGCAGCCATCTGGCTGCTGTGGGTCTGCTTGCTCGGCTGGGTCACTCCCCTGTGCCAGCCACGGGGCAGGGCTAGTGCCCACCCAGGGGCCACTGGGCAGCGCTTCCTGCCCCTGCTCCCCCCCATCCCCCACAGGAGGGAGGGGCTTTGCCTGACAACACCCAGCTTTATATGCTGTGCCTCCGCTGGGAGGTGTGGTGTAGCCACAGCCCCCAGGCTGTTCTGAATGGATCGAAAGCTTTTGTGGGGAAGACATCTGCCCCTTCGGATTGTGTGAGGCTGGTTCAGAGATGGAATAAATGTTTTTCTCATTCGTAATCTCCACTGTCATTGGCTGGCCTCCGAAGGCGGAAGAGAAGGGGCCCCTGGAACCTGCATTTTGAACAAGGTTGTGGCTGGCTGCCCCTCCAGCGCACCCAGCGCCTGCCCGCTCCCTCTGGGGTGGCATTCCTCACCCTGCCCTCCATCAGCTCCTTAAAATAGCAGCTGCGCTCAGCGGTAAACAGGACAGATGGGGGCCGGACTGCCTCCCAGCTCCCTGTGTCCAGCAGCTGGCCCTGAGTGCCCCTTCCCCTCCGGGCCCTTCCCAGCAGGCAGGAGGTGGTTTGGGGTTTGGCACCCAGCACCCCCTGCCCCCCTCCCCCAGGCCAGGGCCTGAAGCAGCTTCCCCGTTGAGCAATGACAGAGGGAGCTGTCAGAAGTGGGCCCCAGTCATTTCAAAACCCCAGGAACTGCGTGTAGGGCTCTGAGCCGCAGCCTCGCCGCGCAGCTCCTCAGTGACCGGCAGGCCCGCAGCCAGGCCCGCCCCGCCCCGCCGCGGGCACGCGCCTCGCAAGGCGCGGCTGAGCGTTTTCCTGGCTCCTGAATTGTCAGTGTCTGTTTCACAAACAAAACCTGACCCCGCGGCCCCAGCTGGCAGCGGCCGGCGCCCGTTCACCCCTTCGGTCCCGGACCCGGGGACGGAGAAGGGACGTTCCTCGTAGGACCTGCTCCGCGCCCTGTCTGTCAGCGGTGCGGCTCAGGGCAGCAGGACAGAGAAAGATCCGGAAAGAAACCCCACAGGGCACCCGGGGAACTCCAGGCGTTAGAAACACGCTCCCGCAGCAGCGGCTTTAATGTCCGTCATTAACCTCACGGCGGCGCAGCCGGCCTGCCCACGCCTCCCACTGCGGAGGGCGCGCCCCACGCACCGGCTGGCCTTCCGAGGAGGCATCCAGAGCAGGAAGGACTGGCAGCCCCGAGAGAAGCAAGAAGGCACACGCCCGGCCGGCCCGCGGCCGAGGGAGGGAGGGAGGGCGCCCGCAGGAGCAGCTGGGCCAGTGAGAACAGAAACTCGCGGTGAAAGCCACAGAGGGAAGGAGCCGGCGTCGCTGATGTCACCGGCTGCTCCTCACCCCAAAGGAGAAGGAGCGCGGCTGCAAGGCCAGGACCGGACCGGAGCCGCGGGCCGGGCAGCTGGGCAGGCAGAGGGGGGCACGGCCTTCGGCCACCGCCGAGCAAGGCCCTGCAGACGGAGCAGCCACAGCCACAGGCGGTGAAGGTCCCGGCCGCTTCCTCCTGAGGCGGCTCCTCGTCGGGCAGGTGTCCGTAGGGGGCGCCAGCCCCAGGCTCAGTTGGCCAGGCTGCACTGCAGGGTCTGATGAGGGAACAGGGGCTTCCTGGCCCCCACAGCCTCGCCAGGCCTGGCCTCCCCCGGCTTTCCCGGCGCCGGGCAGTTCTCCTTGTCTTCCCCGTGGCCCGGCGCCTTCCGGAAGTAGCAGACGCGGCACACGGCGTGGTATTTGTCGGCTCCTCCAAGCACCTCAACCTGGGAACGCAAAGGGGCCTGGGCTGAGCGGCACAGCACCCCGAACCCCCCCCCCCCCCCCGAGCGGCGGGCAGCTACCTCCTTCTCCTGGCCCAGCCGCTTGGTGTAGGCGGCCTCCCGGAAGCACTCCATGCACACGGCGCTCAGCTTCACCACGCTCTCCGCCAGCGGCAGCAGGTGCAGGATGGTCCCGAAGGCCTGGCGGGCACAGGGTTCGCTCTGGCCGGCTCGGCTCTCCAGCCCCCACTCACAAGCCCCGGGGCCAGGAAGCTGCCTGGACCCGGCCCCCGCCAGCCCCTCCGAAGGGCACCCAGGAGCGCCCCGCGGAGGCTGGGCCGGGTCTCCCTGCACCCCTAGGCCTGCTTCTTCTTCACTCCGGGGCCACCCCAGCTCCCACACCCGGTGCCTCACCTTCCTCTGGAAGGTCCCGTCCAGCGCAGCCACGATGACCGTCTTCCCGTTGTTGGCCATGTTCTCGCTGAACTCCACGATGTCCGGGAACTGGAAAGCGCAGCGAGGAGTGAGCGCCCAGCCCCACCCCAAACCCACCCCGCCGTCGCCGCCAGCAGCAGGTCCCCGAGCCACGGGAAGGCCTGCCACTGGCCAGCATTCCCTCCAGGCGGACACGTCAGGGCGGCCCGTCCTCACCGGAGGACGCTCCGAGGGACCCCGGCCCCCCTCGCGACAAAGAGCCGGTGCTGCTGCCCAAAGGCCTTGTCCCGCTCACATGCCGCCCGCCCCCGTCCAAGGTAAGGGTGGAGCTCCCATGTCGGCGGGTACCCTCGCCGCTGCCATTTATTGCCCTTACTTTTGTTTGGATTTTAACGAATCCTCACTCAAGGAGCGAGCATATTTTGTCCATTGATTTTTTTTTTAAAGGATTTACATTAAAAACTATATTTCAAAAAATTGATTTCAGCCCAAACTGGTTTGGCTCAGTGGATAGAGCGTTGGCCTGTGGACTGAAAGGTCCCAGGTTCAATTCCGGGCAAGGGCATGTACCTAGATTGCGGGCACATCCCCAGTAGGGGGCGTGCAGGAGGCGGCTGATCGATGACTTTCATCAATGTTTCTAACTCTCTATCCCTCTCTCTTCCTCTCTGTATAAAAATCAATAAAGTATATATATATTTTTTATTTATAAAATATATTTTATTGATTTTTCACAGAGAGGAAGAGAGAGATAGTTAGAAACATCTATGACAGAGAATCATCGATCAGCTGCCTCTTGCACGCCCCCTACTGGGGATGTGCCCGCAGCCAAGGTACATGCCCTTGACCGGAATTGAACCCGGGACCTTTCAGTCCACAGGCCAACACTCTATCCACTGAGCCAAACCGGTCCCGGCCAATAAAGTACATTTTAAAAAAATGATTTCAGAGGAGAGGGACAGAGATAGAAACATTAATGATAAGACTCACTGACCAGCTGCCTCCTGCACGCCCTCTACTGGGGATCGAGTCTGCAAGGGGCGTGTGCCCTTGACCTCTTGGTTTACGGGTGGGCACTCAACACCGGCCAGGCTACAGGTTGCATTTCAAATGGGATTTCAAAGTTCTCAGTAAATTGGGGCTTTGTTGGTAAGTAAAATAACTGCCGTGTAGGAACAAGGCAGGGAAAAAGGATGGTGATGAGTTTGCCCACTGGGATTCCCGCGCAGGTTCTGCCCCCGCCCTCCGCCTGCCGCGAGCTGCTTCCTGAGCAGGTCCAGTGGGGAGAGCACCCCCAGGGGAAGTGGGGACGCCGGGAGGTAGGTCTGCACCCCGTCATCCGCTTGCCCAGGGCTGGCTGGCTCAGTGGCAGCAGATGACCTCTGCTCCGCTTCCTGGCCCTCAGGCTGGCACCGAGGCACAAAGGGACAGGAACGAAGGACGTGACAGCACGTGGTGAAAGCCAGCCCAACAGAGGAGAAATATTTACACCCTGGCCTGTGTGGCTCAGTGGGTAGAGCGTTGGTTCTCAGACTGAAGGGTCCCACGTTCAATGCCAGTCAAGGGCACGTACAATGATTCTCCCTCATCATTGATATGACTCTCTCACGTCGATGTTTCTCTCTTTCTCTCTCCCCCCCTCCCTCCTTCCTTCCACTCTCTAAAAATCAATGGAAAAATATCCTCAGGTGAAAATTAAACAAAAAAAAAAACAGATAATAATTTAATAAAAAAAGAAAAGAAAAAAAAAGAAAGAAAATTAAACAAAGAGAGAGAGATTTACGTGACCGAGGGGCACCAGGTGTTAACAAGAGCCAGATGTAGGACAAACCAAGAGGAAAATGGGGCAAGCCTCCAACAGACACTTGAATGAAAGAGCTGTTACGACCAGTGGTCGGCAAACTATGGCTCGTGAGCCGCAGGCGGCCCTTTGGCCCCTTGAGTGTGGCCCTTGCACAGAACACCACATGCGGGCGCTCACGTACAGTGCGATTGAAGCCCATGCTCAGAAGCCAGTTTTCGGCTCTCAAAAGAAATGTCAATCGTTGTGCTGTTGGCATTTGGCTCCGTGGACTAATGAGTTTGCCGGCGGCTGTTAGACAGATGGCGCAGCAGATAAGAGGAGCAGGCCCGGGAGGCGGGGCTCAGGGAGTGTTGATTGATCTAGAAACCAGGAAGTCACTGTTCAATTCCTGGTTAGGGCACGTGCATGGTTGGGTTTGCAGGCTCCATCCCCAGTGTGGGCCGTGCAGGAGGTGGCCGATCAATGATTCTCCCTCATCATTGATGTTTCTCTCTCTCCCTCTCCCTTCCTCTCTCAAATCAACAAAACCATATCAAATAAATAAATAAATAAATAAATAATGAAAGAGGAGCGGACGGGAATCCCAGAAATGGAAAGTCTTCAAGACCCAGCACCCTTGCCTTGACCGGTGTGGCTCAGTGGATAGAGCGTTGGCCTGCGGACTGAAGGATCCTGGGTTTGATTCCGCTAAAGGACACGTACCTTGGTTGTGGGCACATCCCCAGTAGGGGGTGTGCAGGAGGCAGCTGATGGATGTTTCTCTCTCCCTCTGTAAAAAATCAATAAAATATATTTTTTTAAAAAGAAAAAGGTAAAATTATAAAAAACAAACAAAAACTCCAGTAGCCTGGGAGGCAGTGCCCGGAGAACCTCACAGAGGCGGCTCCTGGCCAGAGACCACGCCGCGAGCGCTCAGGCAGAGACACACGAACGCAAACCAGGAGGGATGGACAGGAAAGCCGGGGAGACGCTGTGCTGAGAGCGGCCGGGACCCGTGACCTTCCCACGGCGACTGGCCCGCAGACTCGCTTCCAGAGGAGCCAGGCGAAGGGGCCACCCTGCCATCTGCTGCCCACTGGACCCAGAGCACAAGATAAAGATGAGACGGGGACAGGCAGGGGTTCCAGGAAGGCGAGGCCCGGCCGAGCCAACTTACAAACTGCCCCTCGTCGATGCCGATGACGGCCACGCCCATGGCCTCCGTATACACGTCCTGCAGCAGGCAGGCCGGCAGCGCCTCCATGGTGTTCCTGTGGGGAGAGCCGGTGAGCGGCGAGGGGCCCGAGACCCAAACCAGAGGCGGGGCCGGAGCCCGCTGCCATGTTGCCTATAGTGTGGCGATGTCTGCACCCCGCCAAGGCCTCTGGGATAGCAAAGGCCTGTGTGCCGAGACCGGTCAGTCTACACCGGCCATTGCACCGCACACCCAGGGCCAGGAGTGGCGGTCCGACCACAGAAAGCGCTTCTCTGCTTCTCTCCGGGGCCTCTGGGCCAGTGACCGGGCCCCACGGTGCCACTGAGGCCAACAAAACGTTTTCCTTCCATTTAAAAATCAGAATAAATATAACAGTCTTGCCGGCCGGTGTGACTGGTGGTTGAGCTCCAACCTATGAGCCAGGAGGTCACAGCTCGGTTCCCAGTCAGGGCACAGGCCCGGGTTGTGGGTCCATCCCCAGTGGGGGGCGTGCAGGAGGCAGCTGATCCATGATTCCCTCCCATCAAGGATGTTTCTATCTCTCTCCTCGCTTCCTCTCTGACATCAATAAAAACATATCAAATACATATATATATTATATATATATGTATATCTCAGCCTTGCATGACATCGGTCTTCACATCAATGCAGTCATAAAACAATGTATTTTCTTTCTTTGGAGGGAGAGACCCACGAAGACCGAGAGCCGGGGCCCTGGACGGCTGTGGCCTGGCCCGGGCAGAGCTGGGCGGCAGCGCCCATGAGCTGGGATCCCTGCCCCCGCTGTGCCCGCGCCCCGGGGGAGTCCCACCAGCCGTGTGGGCAGCGTGTGGGCAAGTCCCACTATGGCTGGTGGCACCCACCGCCCGGAGAGCCTGCTGTCCTTTGTCCTCTGACTTTTTAAATAGTTTCTATGCTTTCCCTACAATGTTCTTTTCTTCCTTTCTATCTCTGCCTCCTGCGCCTTCCAGGGCTGGCCGTGCCCGAAGGCGGTGTGCATTCGTATTTATGAGAAAACAAAGCCCCCAACAACTGCTATGACCTTGCCATCACCTACTTCCTGCGTCTTGAACGCCCCTCCCCTCCCAAAATGGAGGAAAAGAGGCAGGCGGGGAGCGAGCCGGGTCCGGCGGCTTCGGGAGGGCAGCACAGGAGCGTGGTCACGCCTGCCGAGCACTCGGGCACCACCGGGCACCGCCGCCGCCCTGACAGCCCGTGGCAGCCTGGACGGTGACACAGCCAGAGCTGGGGTCTCACCCCATCGGACTGGCTCCAGAGCCGGAACCTCTAGTCCCCGCAGTGCCGCCGCCTCTGCTTTTACTGTCCTTCCCAGAGGCACCCCGTCCTGTGCAGCAGGCGCCCACATTTCAGGGACGAGGACACAGACCTGCATCAGACGGCGCAGCTGGGATCGGGCCTCCAATCCGGACACTTTCCTCCACGTCCCACACGCTGGCCGAGCCCCGCCGGGGTTCAGCACCCGCGCTCACTCACGGTTATGCTGCTGGGGCTCCGGAGTCTCCGGCCCAGAAACACCAGGCCCCGATCTGCTGCCCAGGAGGGCGCAGGAGGGGAACTGAAGGTGACCCCGACCTCAAGTTTCAGACTGAAATGTGCAGGAGCGCGGGCAGAGAAACAGACCAGGGCAGTGCCAGGACAAGACCACAGGGAGTGGACGAGGACAGCCACTGAAGTGAAATAAAAGCCAATGTGTCACCCGGCCGCGTTGTTCAGAGGTTGAATCAGTTTGATTCCCGGTCAGGGCACATGCCCGGGGTTTCAGGCTCCATCCCCACTGTGGGCTGTATAAGAGGTGGCCGATCAATGATATTTCTCTCTCTCTCCCTCTCCTTTCCTCTCTAAAAATCAATAAAAATATCTCTCTCTCTATATATATAAACCTCAGTGACCGTTACAACTGGTTGACCAAATGACTATTGGCAGGTCACTATGACACACACTGACCACCGGGGACAGACATCAATGCAGGAGCTGCCCCCTGGTGGTCAGTGCGCTCCCTCACCAGCCCCAATTGGCCAGGATCGGGACTGGGTGAGTTGGCTCGATCACAAGGTAGGCAGAGGGACCTCATCCGGGTACAAATTCGTGCACCGGGCCTCTAGTTTAAAAATAAATGAAAAACACAACAAAAGCCAAGATGTAGGCCCAACAAAACCAGCCCAAAGCCTCTGCACAGGTGTCAACCCCAGAGCGGGCTCTCACCCCGGCAGACGTTATGGACGACAGTGGCGGGTCCTTGTGGCGGGGGGCCGCCCTATGCCCTGGCATCACAGGACGCCCAGCAGCACCCTGGCCTCTGCCCACCAGATGCCAGAGGCATGCACCCACCAGATGCCAGAGGCATGCACCCCCTCCAGTTGTGAAGGGAAAGCATCCCAGGCATTGCTAGGTGGACTGGGGGGCAGAATCGCCCCCGTTAAGAACCACAGGGCCAGAGGCCCGGGAAGGCCTGGCCCCGGGGCTCCTCGGTGAGGTGTGGGGGGAGAGGGGCGGACTGACCGGTCGTGCGTGGAGAACTTGCTGCTGTACCGAGTGTCTTTGGCGTACTTGATCACCAGGCACTTGTACTGGGCAATCTGGAAGCGCTGGACCCGCCTCATCAGCTCAGTGCTGCAAAGGTGGAGGGCGGACGGGAGGGCCGTCAGGCGGGGCCAGGCCCCGCCCCCTCCCAGGCCGTACAGAGGCCGCCGGGTGAGGTGTGGGGAAGGCCTGAGGGGGGTGTATGGCCTGGGGGCGGCCCTTGTGGCCTGGGAGAGGCTGGAGGGGCCCGTCTCTTGGGAATATGGTGGCGTGGCGAAGGCCACAGGCCCAGGAGAGGGGTCCAGACTGCATCCGAAGTCGGAACTGCCTCACAAAACCCTTCTGTGCCCAAGAGTCTACTGCCATCAGCCTGCCCTTGTGGGCCAGGGAGCCAGGCCGGTGTGCTCAGTGGTTGGTGAGACACCATTAGGGCACATGCTGGAGTTTTGGGCTCCATCCCCAGTAGGGGGCTTGCAGGAAGCAGCTGGTTGATGCTTTCTCTCTCTCCCTCTGCCCTCCTCTACCTAAAAACCAATAAAAACATATTTTATAAACAGGCCAGGGAGTTTTGAGGGGCTCAGTAGCCCCACCTCCTCCGTTTCTGTCACGGCGGGGCCGGGGAGCAGGCCTCAGGGACTCTCAGGCCGTCTCCCTGGAGGAGGCGCAGGGGCAGCCCCTCCCTCTGGTGGGGGTGGAGGTGGCCTGCGGGCAGGGAGAGCCTCCCCAGGGCTGCATCCTAGGGCGGCATCCGGCGGGAGGCACCGGGCGGGAACGCGGGGTCTGGAGGATGCGGGGAGGGGAGGAGGAGGAGCAGGTCCCGGGGTGCGGGAGGCGGAGGAGGTCCTGGCCACCCGCCACCCGCGAGGCCCTTACCTTTTCCCTGAGAACATGGGTCCGAGGATCACCTGGGAGAGAAGGAGCGATCAGTCCGGGGCCGCTGCGCACGGCGCTGGGGCCGCGCCCCGGCCCCCGCCCGCGCCCCGGCCCCCGCCCGCGCCCCCGCCCCGGCCCCGCACCTGGATCTGCCCGCGGGCCTTGCTGGGGGAGCCGGGCAGCACGGGGAGCAGCTGCAAGCAGCTCATGGCGCCGAGAGTGCGCGTTTGAAATGGACCCCGGCCCGCGCTCGCTTTTAAACCGACGGGCGCCGGCCAATCGCCGCCCGCCCGGTTGGCGGGAGATTAACCGCAGTTCCTCCGGGGGCGGGGCTGGGGCCGGGGCGGGGCGGGGCCACGGGAGGGCGGGGCCACGGGAGGGGCGGGGCCACGAGCGGGGCGGGGTTGGGCGGGGCCTGGCGCCGCCCGGAGAGCGGTGCGGCCCTCGCGGTGCGGGCCGCGGAGACGCCGCAGGGATGGAGGCGCCGCGGGAGGCCGGCCGGGGCGCGGCGCCCTGGAGGGCGATGTCCGCAGAGGTAGGGCCGCCGGGCTGTCCGGTGGGAGTTCCAGGAGCTCGGCGCCCTGAGGGCCTACTGTGCGCGGCGCCGGCCCCCGCCCCCGCAGGGCCTCCGGGGCAGCGGGCACTGAGCCTCCGCCTGCGAGTGGCCTGGGCCCCCGGAGAGGGCACGGCGAGGCCAGTGCGGGGTGCAGGCGCCCAGGCTGCGGGGCGCGGGGTCTGAACCCCCGGCAGCGCCCCGTCGGGTTACCTACCATTCGATTGCCATTTCCTCGCGTGAGGCCGCCGTCCTTTCTCTGGTCATGGGCGCATCTGAGAGTCCGATGAGTGAGGGGTCCTGCCCCTAAGGAGTCCCATTCTCTGCCTGCCTCTCTCTCACACACACCCCTACAATATCAGGGCCCACAGAGACCGCGGCAGTGCCGGCGTCAGGAATCACAGCTCAGGTTGAGCCCCATGGCTGCAGGCACCTGCAGGCAACAGCACGTGCGGGTGGTCAGTCCCAGAGCCTGGCCAGCAGCCCTGCCCAGCAGGCGGCGGCGGTGACTGCACCTGAGTGGCTGCCTTGCTTGCTTCCCATGCCCTGCGCCCTCTAACCTGGTAGGCTGCTGTGGTTGTGCCCATTGCCCAGATGAGGGAACCGAGGCCCGGAGACTGAGTGGTCCAGGGTTAGACAAGCTGTAAGCGATGGAGCCCCGCTGACTCCAAGCCCCAGACCTCCCCATACGTGCCCCAGGCCGGCCTTCACCCATCCTCCCGCCTCTGTGCTTCCTTCCAATGCCCCGCCGCCTGCTTTCCGGGTGAAGCCCGCACGCCGTGGCCTGGCGTTCGGGGCCTGCTGTCCAGCAGCCCGGCTCCCAGCCGCCCTCTGTGTTAGCGATCGGGCCGGGCCTCTCGGAGCCGACCTCCAGTTCCTCCCTTCCTCCTCCCCACTGTGCCGCGTCCTCCTCCGGGGAGGTCACTCCGGTCACTCTGCGGGGCCACCCCAGCTGCCCGGCCCCCTGCGTCTGAGCGCCTGGGCTAATGGGGTCACACTGATGGGGCCTCATCTCCCCTTGTTTGCTGTATCTGAAGCTCCTAATTATTGGGGGGGGGGAGAGGGGGGCGGTGGGGTGGTGGGCAGGGCTAGCTGGGCAGCGGAGGGCAGCTGTGGGAGCCTGAGATGGGGGGGCGGTTCTGGGGCAGAGGAGCACCAGGCGGGAGGGAGGTCTGATGGCACCGTCTGTCCGCAGGAGCTGGAGAAGCAGTACAGCCCCAGCAGGTGGGCCGTCCGGCGTGGACCGGAGGAAACCCTGAAGACCTACTCGGAGATAGGAATCGAGGGTACAGGGCACCCCTTCCCTGTGGGCCGCTGTGGGTGGACTTCGCCCGTGGCAGCGTTTCAGGGCGTGGGGGTGGGGGTGGGGGAGCCACTGCCCATTCAGCGCTCAGGGCAGCTCCCGAAGCCGGGCACTGCCCCAGCTCCTGGTGTGCTCAGGCCCGGCGCCAGGAGGACGCGGGAGGCCCAGCCAACCGTGCCCCTTGCCCTCTGGCCCAACCAGCCCTGCCCAGGCCCAGGCCACACGCCCCTGTGCCACCGGGCAGGAGTGATCACAGGAAGGCCTCTTTTCCCTCCCGGATTGCGAGAGGGAAGTCAGGGGCATGAGCAAGGGGCGGCCCTCCCTCCACAGGCCTGGGTGCTGGAGCAGACTGCTCAGCGCTGGGGCACAGGCTGGGGCTGAGCCCCCACAGAGCTGGGCGCAGCGGAGTCCTGGCTCTGCAGAGCGCCCTGCGGTGCCCAGCTGGGTGCCAAGTACACCCTGCTTGCTCAGTAAACATTTGAGGGTGCAGTGCCCCTGCGTGCATCTGTAGCAAACCTGTTTGTCTGCGTCCGGAGGGAGACGGGGGCCGCTCAGGAGCCACAGGCGCTGAGTGAGGCACAGCTGTGGGCTCGGGCGCTCCGTTAGCCCTGGGTCAGCTCGCGTCCGTGGCCCTCTCGCTGTTCCCACGTCGGGTGGGGTGGAGCCTGTCTTTTTAAAATGCTGACATTTTGTTCATCGTGGACTTGGGGGCATTAATTTTAACTTTAAACTTGTATTGCATTTAAAAAATATATTTTATTGAGTTTTTACAGATAGGAAGAGAGAGGGATAGAGAGTTTATAAACATCGGTCAGCTGCGTCCTGCACACCCCCTACTGGGGATGTGCCCGCAACCAAGGTACATGCTCTTGACCGGAATTGAACCTGGGACCTTTCAGTCTGCAAAGCGACGCTCTATCCACTGAGCCAAACCGGTTTCGGCATATATTGCATTTAAATATCACTTGTCTTATGATTGGTTAGCTTGCGCTGCCATGACACAGCGCCATGGGCTGGTGAGGCTTACACCACAGGAGTCCATTTCTCACGGTTCCCAGAGCTGAGAAGTCCAAGTTCAAGCGGCCCAGCCAGTTTGTTCCCTGGGGAGGGGTCTCTTCCTGGCTGGCAACCTTCTGCTCCGTGTCCTCACTTGGCCGAGAGAGAGAGAGACTGACTGCTGGTCTTTCTTTTATGTATGTATTTATATTTTATTGATTTTTTACAGAGAGGAAGGAGAGGAATAGAGAGTTAGTGTTAACAAAACAAAACATTGAAACCTGTAAAGAATTTTTGTGAGTTTATTTGAGCCAAACTGTGGACCTATGCCGGGAAGCAGAACCTCAATGGGTTGAGATAATGCTCCGGACAATGGCAGATTACATTTGTATTTAACTGAAATCAAAGGAGGGACATAGGTGGGGTACATGAAATTCATTGGTGATGGAGTAAGGAGGCGGGGAAAAAGCAAAGCGGTGGGAAACCCCTAGGATTGGATAAAAAGTAAAATGATGGCCGAGCACCCAGGTGAGTGCGGGAACAATTAACATGGTAACGAAGGAATGTGAGGCATCTGTCCTGGCGCCCAGCACATTTGGTTGTGCCCCAGGGGCTCCGGAAAAAGGGAAGTTACAAGTTACCCAGACATCTCACAGATATGTTATCTTAGAGGCAAAAAGGCAAATGGGCTCAGAAAAGATCTAAGTTGATCTTTGTCAGGTGAAATATAGGCCTAGGACCTGACTACCCACTATGATGTGTTTGTAGCTAGATATTTAATTTTTAAACCATCTTTTTTTTTAAAATATATTTTAGTGATTTTTTATTTTTTTATTTTATTTTATTTTATTTTTTAGTGATTTTTTACAGAGAGGAAGGGAGAGAGATACAGAGTTAGAAACATCGATGAGAGAGAGTCATCGATCAGCTGCCTCTTGCACACCCCTACTGGGGATATGCCCGCAACCAAGGTACATGCCCTTGACCGGAATCGAACCCGGGACCCTTCAGTCCCCAAGCCGACGCTCTATCCATTGAGCCAAACCGGTCCCGGCAAATTTTTAAACCATCTTTTGTGGTTATTGTAGGTCTCTGAGTTTGCAAGACTGCCACGCAGGCCTCCCCTGAGCTTGTCAGGTTAGCATGTGGCTCTTTTCCTTCACATTAGAAATATTGATTATCTGCGTCCTGGCCTCCCACCCCCCCCACTGGGGATGTGCCCACAACCAAGGTATATGCCCTTGACTGGAATCAAATCTGGGACCTTTGAGTCTGCAGGCCCACGCGCTATCCACTGAGCCACACCAGTTAGGGCCGGTCTTTCTCTTCTTATAAGGCCACTTATCCCATCACAGGGCCTCCACCCTCATCTAGCCCTAAGCACCTCCCAAAAGGGCCACCTCCCAGTACCCTCCATTAGGGGGCACACTGCACCATGAGTTTGGGGGGGCTCCACATTCAGCCCATGCCCATCTTTACCGTGGTGCCGCCTCCCCCCGCTGTGCCCCAAGAAGGCAGCCGCCACCCCCGGTCCAGGCCCTGAATGACCAGGTGATGCGTGACCCCCCTGAACACAGCTTCTGGGTCGGAGTGGAGCAGGCGGTGTGAGTGAGGGGCAGGGGGTGGTGATGACCGTCAGGGGGCACCCGTGAGGGCCCACCAGCTGGCTTTGGCTCCCACCCTCACCAGTGCTGCCTGCGACCTAGGTCCTCGTTGGAGTCACACTATCGGGAGCGTAGGGAAGGGAGCTAAAGCAGGAGAAAACAAAAGAGAAAGCCTCGGGCCTCCAGGGAACCAGGAAAACCCCACAAAGAGGCGGGAAGCTGTCTGCTGGGCCTGCACATGGCGGGCCAGCTGCTAGGCACTGCACAGCCGCAGGGAACCTCAGGCTGTGACCGGCCGGACAGTGCGCCCGGAGGTCCCTGTGCTCCAGCCAGAGGGCGCTCCGGTCCGGCCGAACCCCCTGGTGATTGGAGGGGGCATCGGAGTCTGAGACTCAGGACCGGAGGTCGTTTTGCAACCTGGAGCCAGGCACTGGGCCGAGAGGTGAGGCGGCGAGAGGCAGGCCCATCCTGCCTGAGGGCGCTGTTTCAAAGGGACACCTCCCAGGTCTTTGAGAAACATTTTCCCAGACTGTTAAACCGGCTGGAGGCGGGTTTAGCTTTTAAAACACTGACATACATCTCAAAGGGGGAGGGAAAAGACTTACAATTCTGCCAGGTTCCTAAAGGAACGCTCTACGGACAGGAGGGAGGTGGACTCTTCCTGTGCAGCCTGGAGTTCTTTCATTTCTCTTACTTTTGATCTGAATTCACCCCGAGGCACCACCCCATTAACCAGCAGAGGGGCGGGGGGGGGGGGGGGGGTTAATGAGGAGGCCACCTGATCCCCCAGCAGAGCCTGGCTGCCCGCAGGCTGGGGAGCGTGGGCAGAGAGTAGAGGGGGGTTTTAAGAACTATTTCTTAAACTTGTTTTACTGAGACTGTAAATAACAAAATTATAACGAAAGCATAATATGCTAATTAGACCAGACAGCCTAATGACCTTCCGGACATCATTCCAGACCTTCAGGACCAGGACGAACCCCTGGTGGGGGGGAGAGGGGGTAACACAGAGGTGGCTAGGGGTGATCAGGCAGGCAGAGCCGTTAGGGGCAATCTGGCAGGCAGGCGAGCAGTTAGGGGCGATGAGGCAGGCAGGTGAGTGGTTAGGGGTGATCAGGCAGGCAAGTGATTAGGAGCCAGCAGTCCCGGATTGCGAGAGGGATGTCCACCTGCCAGTTCATTCCAGATGCCCTCAGGATCGGGCCTAAACTGGCAGTCGGACATCCCCCGAGGGGTGCCGGATTGCGACAGGGTACAGGCTGGGCTGAGGGACAGCTATGGGCATGAATAATAGACACCCCATGTTTGCTTTTTCACAAAAGGAAGTTTGTAGTAAGTCTTTCCTCCAAGCCCTCCCGTGTTCTGCCGATGGGTATTCACGCTCTGGGGGACCCAGGGGGGTCTCGTGGGGTGGGGAGGAGGCTCGGCTCAGGATTCAGCTGGGGGAGGGGAGTGAAGCGGATGGACCAGGATGTGGTTTTCTGGTCCTAAGCAGCCGGCGTGACTTATATAAATAAATTAATGCGCAGCCAGAGGACGAGACGCTAATGAACTGTGTGGTGTTTTAAAGGAAGGAATGAGGAAGCTCCCTGTGTACACTCACTAGGAAGGCGCTCCAAGAGATCTCTAATGAAACAGGCAGGGCAGCATGTGCCTAACCCGCTGCCTCTGGATTAGAGGCAGCGAGATTCTCCATCGCATTCATACCGGGGTCACCCTGGCGGGGGCGGGAACATTTTGCTCAGAAGCCTTTGTGTGTATTTTTTTTTTTTCCTTTGTGTGTATTTTTAATGGAATAACCGTTATTTCCTCAGAGGAAGTAGCGGTGGCTTTCCATCTTTTAAACGGATGCTCAGTCAGCGCAGAGCTTTCACAGATTAAATCCCTCTGAGCATGTCCACCGTGTGTGAGGGTGACAAAACTCTTAAGATTCATCCGAAGCCGGTTTGGCTCAGTGGTAGAGCGTCGGTCTGCAGACTGAAAGGTCCCAGGTTCGATTCCGGGCAAGGGCATGTACATTGGTTGCGGGCACATCCCCAGTGGGGGGTGAGCAAGAGGCAGCTGGTCCATGTTTCTCTCTCATCCACGTTTCTAGTTCTCTCTCTCTCTCCCTTCCTCTCTGTTAAAAATCAGTAAAATATATTAAAAAGAAAAACAACAACACAAAAACTCTTAAGATTCAGCTCACACTCCGGGCAGTCTAACGGCTCCACCTGAGTCTCGTGGTTCTGATTAATTGGAACCAAGTCTCGTGGTTCTGATCAATTGAAATGTGTTTAGTTACCGAGCTCAGCGCGTCCTGCCCAGCGGCCTGGGCCCCCGTGGCGCGTGGGCAGCCGGGAGCCTGTTTGGTTCTTAGGTCAGCGCTCGGCACTGAGCCCCCTGGCCGGGCAGCAAAGAGGCCTTTAGCTGAAAGGTCCCCTGAAACAGACGGGACAGCTGCTGCCGAGCTGCGCTGACAGCCTGTCCGTTTCCGAGCAGCCACCGCGGGGGCCCGGGCGGCGCGGAGGAGCCTGCTGGGCGTCCAGTACGGCGCCGCGGCCGGGGAGGCGCTGGACCTCTACCTCCCCGAGGCGGCGGCGGCGGCGGCGGAGGACGGTGAGCGCTGAGCGGGCCGGTGAGGGGCGGGGGGGTGAGGGCCGGGGTGCGGGGGGGTGAGGGGCGGGGGGTGAGGGGGAGTGAGGGCCTGGGGGGGGGTGAGGGGCGGGGGGTGAGGGGCGGGGGCTGCGGGGGTGAGGGGCGGCGGGGCAGGTGGTGAGGGGCGGGGGCGGTGGGGGTGAGGGGCGGGGGGTGAGGGGCAGGGGTGAGGGGCGGGGGGCGTGAGGGGCGGCGGGGCAGGGGGTGAGGGGCGGGGGTGAGGGGGGTGAGGGGCGGGGGGGTGAGGGGCGGCGGGGCGGGGTGAGGGGCGGGGGCGGCGGCTGGGGTGAGGGGCGGGGGTGAGGGGCGGGGGTGGAGGGCGGGGGGCGGCGGGGGTGAGGGGCGGGGGGCGTGAGGGGCGGCGGGGCGGGGTGAGGGCGGGGGTGAGGGGGGTGAGGGGCGGGGGTGAGGGGCGGGGGCGGCGGGGGTGAGGGGCGGGGGTGGAGGGCCGGGGGCGGCGGGGCGGGGTGAGGGGCGGCGGCGGGGGTGAGGGGGGTGAGGGGCGGGGTGGAGGCCGGGGGGCGGCGGGGGTGAGGGGCGGGGGTGAGGGGGGTGAGGGGCGGGGGCGGCGGCGGGGGTGAGGGGGTGAGGGGCGGGGGTGGAGGGCCGGGGGCGGCGGGGCGGGGTGAGGGGCGGCGGCGGGGGTGAGGGCCGGGGGTGGAGGGCGGGGGCGGCGGGGGTGAGGGGCGGGGTGAGGGGCGGGGGGCGGCGGGGGTGAGGGGCGGCGGCGGGGGCGGCGGGGCGGGGGTGAGGGGCGGGGGTGAGGGGGGTGAGGGGCGGGGGCGGCGGGGCGGGGGTGAGGGGCGGGGGTGAGGGGGGTGAGGGGCGGGGGTGAGGGGGGTGAGGGGCGGGGGCGGCGGGGGTGAGGGCCGGGGGCGGCGGGGGTGAGCCCGGAGAGGGGGGCCCTGGCGGAGCCCTGGGAGCCGCCTCAGCCCCGCCTGTCTGCAGCCCGGCCGCTCTTCGTGTTCCTTCACGGCGGGTACTGGCAGGCCGGAAGGTGGGTCTGCGGAGCGCGAGGAGCAGAGGCAGAGGGAGAGGCAGCGAAAACAATGGCCGGACCGGTGTGGCTCAGTGGATAGAGCGTCGGCCTGCGGACTGAAGGGTCTGGGGTTCGATTCCGGTCAGGGGCATGTGCCTTGGTGGCGGGCACATCCCCGGTGGGGGGTGCGGGAGGCAGCGGGTCTGCGTTTCTAGCGCTCTGTCCCTCTCCCCTGGGGGGGGGAGGCTCAGGGGGGAGGGAGGATCAGGGGGGAGGGAGGCTCAGGGGGGAAGGGAGGTTCAGGGGGGAAGGGAGGATCAGGGGGGAAGGGGGAAGGGAGGATCAGGGGGGAAGGGAGGCTCAGGGCGGAAGGGAGGCTCGGGGGGAGGGAGGCTCAGGGGGGAAGGGAGGATCAGGGGGGAAGGGAGGATCAGGGGGGAGGGAGGCTCGGGGGGGGGAGGATCGGGGGGGGGAGGCTCAGGGGTCGGGGCGGGGTCACCCCGTGTCTCTGCAGTAAAGACGAGTCGGCCTACATGGTGGGCCCCCTGACGGCGCGGGGCGTGGTGGTGGCGGTGGTGGGTTACGCCCTGGCCCCCAGAGGTAAGGCGCCCTGCGGGTGAGGGGGCCGGGGGGTGGGGGGCGCGCCCCTCGCTGACCCGCCTGTGCTCCCCCAGCGACCCTGGACCAGATGGTGGACCAGGTGGCCCGCAGCATCGTCTTCCTGCAGGAGCGCTTCCCGAGCAACCAGTGGGTGTCTGAGGAGCGGGTGTCCGTGGGGAGCGGGTGCCCGTGGGGAGCGGGTGCCCGTGGGAAGCGGGTGTCCGAGTGGGTGTCCGTGGGGAGCGGGAGTGCGTGGGGAGCGGGAGTGCGTGGGGAGTGGGAGTGCGTGGGGAGTGGGTGTGTGTGGGGAGCGAGTGTGTGAGAGGAGGGGGTGCCCATGGGGAGGGGTGCCCATGGGGAGGGGTGTCCGTGGGGAGGGGGTGCGCGTGGGGAGCGGGTGTAGCCACAGCTGTCCTTTGGTTGATGACGCGGGGGCAGAGGGGATGGAGGGGCTGGGGCACTGGATTCGGCCATGCAGCCCCCTCGCTGCAGCCTCGCTGCCCTCCGGCCCGTGGGGCGGGGACAGGCAGTGACTCACCCTGTCCGCCCTCAGGGGGATGTACCTGTGTGGACACTCGGCCGGGGCCCACCTGGCCGCCATGATGCTCCCGGTGAACTGGACCGAGCGGCCAGTGACGCCCAACCTCAAAGGTTCCCGTGGGGCCAGCGGCTGTCCCTCCCCTCCCCCCCTCCTTTTTCCTCTCCTCCCCTCTGGTCTCCCCCTCCTTTTTCTTTCCCTCCCCTCCCCTCCCCTCCTTTTTCCTCCCCTCCCCTTCTCTACCATCCCCTCCTCTCCCCTCCGCCCCCACGGGCCTGGGCTGGGGGCCTGCACTGGTCGCTGACCTGGGGGCTTTGTCTGTGAGCCGGGCCTGCTTGCTGCTTCGTGGTCCCCTATTCTGGTCCCTCTCCCCCTCTCCCTCCTGTGCCCGCCCTCCCATCCCCCCCCCCCCCCCCGTCCTGGGCTGGCCCTGTCCTGCCCACGCAGTGCCCGCACAGGCCTGGTCGGTGGGTGGCCCCCTGCCACGGCCCCTGGGTCTCTCCCCCCAGCCTTCTTCCTGGTGAGCGGGGTCTACGACTTGGAGCCCCTCGTGCACACCTCCGTGAACGCCCCTCTGCGCCTGACCCCGTGAGTCCCCTCCTGCGGGCCGGAGCGGGGAGGGGGGTTGGAGAGCGTGAGGCTCTTCCCCCACCTGATGCCCTCCCTCGGGGCACCAGGGAGGATGCCCGCAGGAACAGCCCGCAGAGGCTCCTGGAGGCGGCAGCCGCGCAGCCCGGGGGTCCGGCTGGCCCGGTGCTGGTGATCGTGGGCCAACACGACAGCCCCGAGTTCCGCAGGCAGGCCCGGGAGTTCTGCCAGGTACCGCCCTCCCCCTCCCCCCGGACCCTCCCTGGCCGGTTGGGCAGCTGCTCTGTGCCAGGCCCAGGGTGAGCCCCCTCGCCTCTGCCTGCCGCGCCCCGGCTCCCCCACCAGACGCTGTGCCGAGGCGGGTGGCGGGCCTCCCTGGAGGAGGTCCGGGACGTGGACCACTTTGAGATCCTCTGGAAGCTGGCGGAGCAGGACGACGTGCTCACCCAGGTGCCCTGGTGGCCCCTCCCTGGGGGCGGGGGCCCGGGGTGGCCCCTCCCTGGGGGCGGGGGCCCTGCCCCTGCGGGGGGGAGGCTGCGTGGGAGCAGAGGGGGAGCGGAGCAGCGGGGCCTGCGTGTTTGGGAGGCCTGGCGACAGGCATCGAGGGCCAGGCTTGTCTCCTCCACTTAGTGTTCTTTTATGTTTTTAAAAGTTTTCATTGCTTTCTGAGAGGCCGGAAGAGGGAGACAGACACACCAGTGATGAAGGAGTGTCATGGATCGGCTGCCTCCTGCACGCCCCCGACTGGGCATTGAGCCTACAGCCCAGGCCTGTGTCCTGACCAGAATCCAACCCTGTCCTCTTAGTTCAGTGATCGGCAAACTGTAGCTCGTGAACCACATGAGGGTCTTTGGCCCCTTGAGCTTTTAGCAAAGGCCAGCTTAGGAGGACCCTAATTAAGTTAATAACAATGCACTTACCTAGATTGTTTAAGTTTAAAAAATTTGGCTCACTCAAAAGAAATTTCAGTCGTCGTACTGTTGATATTTGGCTCTGCTGACTGACGAGTTTGCCGAGCACTGGCCTAGTTCACAGGTCAACGCTCAACCGCTGCCGTACCAGCTGGGCTTAATTTCATTTTCCAATTAGAGTTACATTCAGTAGGACTTTATATGAGTTCCAGGTGTACAGCATAGTGGTCAGACAAGTATATACTTTACAAAGGGACTCCTCTGTTAAGTTTGGATTTTGTCATTTTTACATATCCCAAAATAATGTTTTTGGGTTTCTTTTCAATGGTTTAAAACATAAAGCTACCCAGCTGGGGTTGCTCAGTGGTTGAGCGTCCATCTGTGAACCAGGAGGCCACAGGTTCGATCCCCAGGAAAGGGCACAGGCCCGGGTTGTGGGCTCAATCCCCAGCAAGGGACGTGCAGGAGCCAGCTGATCCATGATTCTCTCTCATCACTGAGAGAATCTATCTCTCCCTCTTTCTCTTCCTTTCTCTCTGTAATCAGTACCAAAAAATAAATAAATTAATCAAATTTAATTTAATTAATAAAATAAAATATAAAACGTAAAAAATAATAAAAACAAAGCCTTCGTTGGCCTGGGGTTGAGCCAGCTGGAGGCTGGGAGCCTCATTAGGACGATGGAAGGTGGGGAACACGCTTAGGCGCTCCTCTCCGCTCCCCGGCAGCCCTCCCCTCACCACATTCCTCCTGAGAGCCTCCTGGGCCTCTCCGATGCCAGGGCCATGGCTTCTCTTCCTGCCGCAGATCATCTTGAAAACCATCTTCCCAGAGTTCTGATGGGCCCCAACCCCCAGCTCAGTCCTCCCCCAGCTCCGAGCAGGAACCTAGTCTTTGTGGCCGAGCCCGGGTCGGAATGGAGCTGCTGCAGGGACAGGCCAGCCCAGGGCAATGCCGTGGGATGCCCGGAGCGCCTCTCGCCAAGTCTGTGCCCCCGCCGGCTGAGAAAGACAGACGACAGCGCCCATCTTCATACATGGGCTTCAGCTCGCTGCCCACAAGCCTTTTAAACGAATCAGAAAAGAGCATTCTTTCGTGACATGTAAAAATGATATGAAATTCAGATGTTCATAGCCATAAATAAAGTTTTATTGGCACCCAGCTACGTTCATTCATTTAGGAATTGTCTGTGGCGGTGTTTGAGCCACGAGGGCCGAGCTGGGTGCTGTCAGAGCCTGGATGGTCCCCAAAGCTAAAATAATTACCAGCTGAAACCGGTTTGGCTCAGTGGCTAGAGCATTGGTCTGCAGACTGGAAGGTCCCAGGTTTGAGGTCAAAGACATGTACCTTGATTACGGGCACATCCCCAGAAGGGAATGTGCAGGAGGCAGCTGGTTGATGTTTCTCTCATCAATGTTTCTAGCTGTCTATCCATTTCCCTTCCTCTCTGTAAAAAAAAATAAAATACATTAAAAAAAATAAAATAATTACCGTCCGGCTCTTTTTGGGAAAGTTCGCTGCCCCTTGTGCAAGAGTGCCCCACACTGCTTCTGCCTTTGCTTCACTCCTTGGTCCACTCTGTCCTGGCTCCACATGACACGGGTCTGCCCTGAAAACCCTGGAATGCTAGCCTCAGGGTAACACCTTGACCGTGACCTGACAGTGGGCAAGCTTCCTCTGCCCCCCACCTACCTCCGCCCCAGGGGACTGTGCATTCCCCCAGGAGCCAGCTGTGTCCAGCTGCCACCCACTGCACCCCACCATCTCTCTGCCCCACTCTGAATAGCTTGCAGTTCAAGAATGATCAGCTCTGGCCAATGGTGCTCAATGGTTAGGGTACATTAAAATTTTTAAATTCACATTTGTCCTAAAAATCCACTTTTAGAAATCTAGCCCCTGGAAGCAAAAGTGCCAGAATACAAGGATACTCACACAAAGTGTTTCCTGCAGGCAGAAAGAACAGCTGAGGGTCCCACTGGGAGTGTTTGTTAGCAAGCCAAGGGACAGCCGAACTCCAGGAGAAGGTGAGGACTGACTGCTGGGCGGGGTTCCTCTGACAGGGAAGCACCCACGGCGGCTGCTGGTCCCCTCCCGGAGCTACGGGCTCAGACAGGGAAATCTCACCATCTTGAAAGGAAAAGTGGATCTTGTCAGAGGCCTGAATGTCCACAGCTGCGGCAACCGCTGAGCAGCTGTGAGCCCCAGAATACCAGTCCCAGGTGGCGCGAATACTTGGACTCAAAGGAGCTCTCCACCCAACACGGAAAGGAGAGCGAGAACTACCAGACATCCTGAGAAGAGAGACCATGGGGAGATGAAATGAATGAGAGATGAGCAACCTATCAGAGCAAGAATTCAGAGAAATGGTCAAAAGGTGGCTGAAAAGAATGGAACTCAAATTCGACAATATGAGTAAAAATCAAGAGGAAATGAAGAACCAAGAAGAAATGAAAAATGACATCGCTGCTGTAAAGAACTCAATAGAAAGCATCAAGAGTACACTAGAGCCGGGACCGGTTTGGCTCAGTGGATAGAGCGTCGGCCTGTGGACTGAAAGGTCCTGGGTTCGATTCCGGGCAAGGGCATGTACCTTGGTTGCAGGCGCATCCCCAGTAGGGGGTGTGCAAGAGGCAGCTGGTCAATGATTCTCTCTCATCGATGTTTCTAACTTTCTATCCCTCTCTCTTCATCTCTGTGAAAATCAATAAAATATATTTTAAAAAAAACCTTTAAAAAAAAAAAAAAAGAGTACACTAGAAGAAGCAGAGGACCGCATCAGTGAGCTAAAAGACAAGATGGAAAAAAAATACCCAAGTAGAGCAGCTTCTAGAAAAAACAAAGCGTTTCCTGCCATGTTATTTATAACTAGAGGCCCCGTGGGGTCTGGTGGGCTCACCTTGGGGCGGATTGGCTGGGGAAGGCCAGTAGGAGGGGCCAGGGCGGTTGGCCAGCTGGCCCTGCCCCTGGTGGAACTCCGGGTGGAGGGGGCGATTTGCATATTACTCTTTTATTAGATAGGACGGTAGGGAATTAGCCACCTGAGGGCCCGTCCATAGTCTCCCCAAACCCCCTTCTTGCCCAGCATAGTCTATTCATCCGGGACATCTTTTCCCTGGAGGATGCGCTGCCTCCGCAAACATTCCAACCCAGCCCGCTGCAGGGTAGGGGGAGCTGGCACTGGGGGCTCCAGGAGTGGGCGCCCCCAAGAACCACCAGAGTTTGCAGGTCGAAAGGGCTTAATACAGCTGGACTAGACGGCTTAAAGCCATTAGGAAGACTGCAGCCCGGCTTCAGCTCCACCCCGTTCCACTCGGCTAAGCGTGCGAAGCGGTAAACACCGGACCGAGGTCGCTAGAGCCACGCAGAGGGGAAGACTACAACTCCCAGCATGCCCCGCGCACTCCCAGAAGCCCCTCCCGAGCTGGGCTTCCCGACGGGCCTTGCGGCGGCCGCCAACCGCCTGATTTGAATCGCGGCGCGGCTGGGGGTGGCGGAGAGATGGGTGCCCCGTCGTTGCCCGAGGCCTGGCAGCTCTACCTCAAGGACCACCGCATCTCCACGTTCAAGAACTGGCCCTTCCTGGAGGGCTGCGCCTGCACCCCGGAACGGGTGAGACGGGCACGGGGTCCCCCAGGCCCGCCCCGCCGGCCCAGGCCGCCGCTCCCTCCCGCGGGGGCCCGGCCCCTCCCTGGCCCCGGGGCTGGGCGGTCCCTCCCTGGGCTCCCGGGGTCCGGGGTGTCCCCTCCCCCAGGGCTGGGCGGTCCCTCCCTGGGCTCCCGGGGTCCGGGGCATCCCCTCCCCCGGGGCTGGGCGGCCCCTCCCTGGGCTCCCGGGGTCCGGGGTGTCCCCTCCCCTGGGGCCCGGCTTCTCCCTAGGCCCCGGGGCTGGGCGGTCCCTCCCTGGGCTCCCGGGGTCCGGGGCATCCCCTCCCCGGGGCTCCCGGAGGGCACGCGCCGCGGGTCCGAGCCTGCCTTCCCTTGCAGATGGCCGCGGCCGGCTTCATCCACTGCCCCACCGACAACGAGCCCGACCTGGCCCAGTGCTTCTTCTGCTTCAAGGAGCTGGAGGGCTGGGAGCCCGACGACGACCCCATGTAAGTGCCGCCCGGCCGCCCCTCCGCTTTGCCGGGAGCTGGGGGACTGCGCTTCCGAGGAGGACGCGAGGGCGGGAGCCCCGGTTTCCTGCCTCCCTTTGCGCCTGAGCCGCTGTTGCAAGTGCCTGGTCTGGCTTCCCCCTCATCCCCCTGGTTTGGCCAGTGCCCTCGGTGCCTGTGGAAGAGGCGCCTTCCTGCCCAGGCCCAGGGCCCTTGAGGTTGGACAGAATCCGGGAGCAGCTCCTGTGTGTCCTTTTAAATGTGTTTTTATTGATTTTAGAGGGGAAGGGAGGGAGAGAGAGAAGCAGCAATGATGCAGAACCAAGTGATGCCCTTGACTGGAATCGAACCCAGAGCCCTTCAATCCACTGGCCGACGCTCTGTCCACTGAGCCACACCATCCAGGGCTTGTTTCAGAGTTTTTACCTCCAGCCTATTGTGCTACAGCTCACACACCACAACGCCCCCCTTTGAAAGAGGCCCAGGCCCCTGTGGGGGTTTGTTCCCTAAGGGACGGGACGGGACTGTGCGTTTCAGGGCCACGCAGCGCCCCCTGCAGGCCGTGCCCCACGTTCTCGCCTTCCCTGGCCGAATCGGCAGTTCCGAAGTGGGTTGTTTCTCTTGTTGCCAGGAACTGTGTTTGGGATTGGCACCCAGTGCGGACTGGGTGGCATGGTGGCACACTGGGAGTCACTGGGAAGTGCCGTGTGTTGGGGGTGGGTCCTAGTTCCTGTGCTGTCCCCGGACTTCCCGTGGCTGCGTGTGCATTCGCGGGGGTCTGGCTCGGGCTGTGCGCCCGCACGCCTGCTTCCCCTCGGACAGTGATGGAGGCCGGCTCGGCGCTTCCCCGAGAGGCCTGGCCGGGGCCGTTCCAAACCAGTAGGTTCTGTAACAGCATCCCTGAGGCCCGGAGCCCGTGTGGCTCAGTGGATAGAGGGTGTCAGCTCACAGACTGAGGGTCACAGGTTCAATTCCGGTCAAAGGCACGGATCTCCGTCGCAGTCTTGGGTGGGATTAGCAAAACAAAAAGATGTCTTGAGGATCTTAGAGGGATCTGACCTGTGATAGCTCTGGACTCGGGTAAAGCACTTCCTACTAACTGAGGCTCCAGTAAAGCCCGCCAGGGGAGGGGCGGGGGGCCCAGAGAGAAGGCGCGGAGCTGAGCGTGTGGCGATGTGGCCAGGGCCCAGCCCTGACTCGTCTCCTTGGGGCGACTCTGCTGCCGCAGCGAGCGGGGGCGGGCGGAGGGGGCTGTGGCGACAGCGCGGCCTCCCTTCCTCACTGCCCGCCCGCGGCCGCCTTCCCAGGGAGGAGCACAGGAAGCACTCGGCGGGCTGCGCCTTCCTTTCCGTCAAGAAGCAGTTTGAAGAGCTGACCCTCGGGGAATTTCTGAAACTGGACAAGGAAAGAGCCAAGAACAAAGTGGTAGGTGCGCTGGGGGGAGCCGAGAGCCTGGTGGGGGGAGCCGAGAACCGGCTGCGGGGTGTCGGCCGCCCTGAGCCTGGTGGGGGGAGCCGAGAGCCGGCTGCGGGGTGTCGGCCGCCCTGAGCCTGGTGGGGGGAGCCGAGAGCCGGCTGCGGGGTGTCCGCCGCCCTGAGCTGGTGGGGGGAGCCGGCTGCGGGGTGTCCGCCGTCCTGAGCTGGTGGGGGGAGCTGGCTGCAGGGTGTCCGCCGTCCTGAGCTGCCGGCCCGCACATCCTCCGGGCGCCGTGCCTGTGAGATGGCGCGCTGTGGTCCTGTTTTCTCACATTTACAGATGTAACGGCCGTCTTAGCCCCGTGGCTGGTGGGGGCCCGCAGGTGAAGGCGGCCGGCGGCTCCAGGTGACGGGCCAGCCTTGTTTATCGCTGGGGGACCGTCAGAGAGAGCTGTGCGTGAGCAAACGGGGAGGACGGTGTAGCCAGTGAGGCAGAAGCCGATGAGCGGGCCCGTGGGGAGGTGTCAGCACTGCCGCACTGTCCGCGGAGGCCCGCCAGGGGGCGCTGTCTGCCCCGGCGGGGTGGGCGGCATTTATGTGGCCACGGGTGTGTGTTCTCCGAGTCCTTTCAGTGACTTTCAGTGATGCAGAAGCATTACTTCTGTTCAGTCCCAGATGGTGTGAGCAGCTGAGGGGTGGCCACTGCTCGCTGGTACTTCCTCCCGGGTCGTTTTAAAGCTGACACGTTGCAAGGAGGTGGGAAGTGAAGCTGAGCGGTGGCCCTGGCTGTGCTGTGGGAGCCGGCCACGGAGTGAGAGCTGGCTCAGTGGCTCCGCGCCGCCGTGGCCACGCCGGCAGCCGCGTCCTTGCGGGCCTCGGAGCGCACGGCGCAGACAGTGGCCATTGTCTTTGAACAACGTCGGTTGCACCGGCTGCTCCCGCGTCCGGCCAGCTGTGCGTGTGGCACACACTTGGCAGTGATAGGAAGCAGCCCCGGTGCCCGTGAGGATGGCGTGCGGGCTGGCGTCAGAGCGTGCCAGGACGGCTGTGCCAGGTGGGCACCCGGAGGCCAGCTGGGCCTGGCTCCCGAAGGCTCAGGTGTGAAGCCTGTTATGTGAGCGCAGCACTCAGCGGGACAGGCATCGCCAGACATTTTATTAAAGGACCAGCTGGCGGCGTGCTGTGCTGCAGCTGTGCTGGCGACAGGGTGCCTGGCGCTGTGCGGGTCTCGGGTAACGAGGTGCGGCTGCGGGGGGGGGAGGGGGGAGGGAGGAGGGGCAGGAGGTCACTTCGAGGCCAGCCCATGGCGGCCCTGCTTGGGCTCGCTGCTCCGCCTTTTGGGGAAGTGAAGGGAGTTGGGGCCGTGGGAGAATAAGCCCGCGCGGGTCAGGTTCACACAGCAGGCGGAGCAGCTGACTGCAAAGCTCACCTGCCGCCAGGTGACTGCTTCTCACTGAGCTCCTAACGCCCTCACCCCTTGAGCGGGACCTTGTGAATGGAGGTGCCGCCGTGCGGTGGTTCTGACGGTGCAGCCAGTGTGCCGAGGGTCTGAGGCTCGGCATGGTGGCCCCTTACCCGCTCGCCGCTGGCCGTTCGCTCCTGCTGTCAATGTATTATTTTTTAAACTAAATTTTCTTTGAAAAAATGCTTATTACTATTTTTTAATCTTTACCCAAGGATGTGTTTTCACTGATTTCAGAGAGAGAAAAGAAGGGAGAGGGAGGGAGAGAGAAACATGGATGGGGTGCCTTCTGAATGCACCCAGATGAGGGTTTGAACCTGAAACCGGGGCATGTTCCCCCACTGGACCTTTTGTGCAAGGACAGATGACACTCCAGCCGACTGAGCCACACAGGCCAGGGCAACATTAAATTTTCTTTTAATTGTAAAGTAAGTGAGCCGCTTGGACAACACTTAGACACACAACTAGCAGCCCTGGCCGGGCGGCTCGGCTGGCTGGCAGCAGAAGATGAGCAGTTCAGTTCTCAGTCAGGGCACGTGCTCCCGTTTCGGGTTTGATCACAGGTTGAGTGAGTTCAGGAGGCAGCCAATTGATGTGTTTCTTTCTCTCCCCACCCCCCTCCTCTCTAAATTTCTTTTTTTTTTATTATTATTATGGATACATTGCTTCTTTTATTTTATTATTATTATTTTAAAATATATTTTATTGAGTTTTTACAGAGAGGAAGAGAGAGGGATAGAGAGCTAGAAACATTTGATGAGAGAAACATCGATCAGCTGCCTCCTGCACAACCCCACTGGGGATGTGCCTGCAACCAAGGTACATGCCCTTGACTGGAATCGAACCCGGGACTTTTCAGTCCGCAAGCGGATGCTCTCTCCATTGAGCTAAACCGGTTCCTGCTAAATTTCATTAAAAAATATATATATATTTATATATATATTGAAAGTAATTTTTAAATGTTAGCCTTCATTGTTTTTCTTATTAGAAAACATTTGACCCAATAGAGTTTTTGTTCTTTTAATGTGAAAAATCAAGGAGAATAAAAATCAAGGTAGGGCAGCCCTAGCCAGTTTGGCTCAGTGGATAGAGTGTCGGCCTGCGGACTGGAAGGTCCGGGTTCGATTCTGGTCAGGGGCACTGCCTGGGTTGTGGGTTCGATCCCCAGTAGGAGGGTGGCGTGCAGGAGGCAGCCAATCGGATTCTTTCTCATAGTTGATGTTTCTCTCTCCCTCTCCCTTCCTCTCTGAAATAAAAAAAGAAAATCAGGGTGGGGCAGGCGGTCCGGGCCCTAACATGGCTGTGCTTGTTCTCGGGAGCACTGAGCGGAACTGAGGGGAGGGAAGGAAGGTTGGAAGCCGGCCCTGGGCGGCAGGGGCGGAGGTGCTAGTGTTTGATGGTCCCTCACCTGGACCAGAGGCGGCTCTGGGCGGCGGATGGGAGCGCCAGGTGCAGCCAGGCTAGTGGGCGGGCGGGGGGGTGGGAGCGCCGGGTGCTGCCAGGCTAGCGGGGGGCAGGGGGTGGGAGCACTGAGTGCAGCCAGGGTAGCAGGTGGGCAGGGGGTGGGAGCACTGGGTGCAGCCAGGGTAGCGGGGGCAGGGGGTGGGAGCACTGGGTGCAGCCAGGGTAGCGGGCGGGCTCTGCCAGGCTCACTGGGAAGCTGGAGCCGGTGCTGCTCGCACCCGAGTCTCACGGGCCTTCGCCACAGGGTGCGGTTTGGAAGCTGCTGTTTCGCTCTCATGCGTCTGTTCTTTATTTCCAGGCAAAGGAAGCCAACAATAAGCAGAAAGAATTTAAAGAAATCGCAAAGAAAGTCCGCGCCGCCATTGAGCAGCTGGCCGCCGCGGAGTGACGCCCCGCCGCTCCCGGAGGGCGGCTCTGCCCGGGCTCGGACCCAGGGCCGCCGCCGCCGCCGCTCTGGGCGTGGCAGAGACTGGGAGAGGAGGGCACGGCCTGTGAGGAGGACTTAGCCTGCGCGCTGGCCGTCACAGTGGCCGCGGCTTCGTCTGCCCTGGCGGCTGGCTCTTTGGCCTCATGGCTCCGTGGGTCCTGGAGGCGCCCGGGTGGGGGGGGGCGGTCATGGCTCCCTGAGATGTGTGTGAGCCCGTCACGGTCTGTGCTGCTGGAGTAGAGGACTGAGGACCCAATTCACGTGTTTTTGCACAACCTAAGCTTAGGGGACGCTTTTCTGTGTCCTAGTGCTCTGTACTCCCTGCGACAAGGCCTCTGGCCGTGCGTGTGTTCCGTCTCCACCGGCCATCATTCTGTGACTTCCTTCCGCCCCACCGGGAGGACAGACAGCTGGGCCCTGGCCTCGCCCTCGGGTGTGAATGAGGGAGGGAGAGACGGCTTCCTCCATGCACCTGGGGAGACGTGCCTGTGGGTATGCGTGTGTGAGCACATGTGTGTGCAGGTGGGCCGTATGGGTGGGGGGAGTCAGTCCGCGTCACACGCACCCTCTTCCGGTCCCAGCCTGGGAGTGGCTGCTGGCAGCCGCCCGGCCCTCAGCCTCAGCCGGCAGCCCTCTGGTCACCCGAGTCCCAGCCTCGGCAGGCAGGGCTGGGCTCGGTTTCCCTCCCCATCCTGGGGGCGGGCGCCTCGTTCTGCAGGCTGGGGTCCTGGTGGGGTCCTGGGGTGGGCAGGGCCTGGGGACAGGAATGAGGCTGCTCTTGCTGGGCCTCCACATTGACTGCCTTCCCCTCCCTCCCTCCCTCTCTAAAACTCAATGGGAAGGTATCCTCAGGTGAGGCTTCACCTAGAAAACAGGTTTTCAGACCAGATAACAAGCACCTGTGGCTCACAGCAGTGCAAGGGCCGAGACAGCGTCACAGCCGTGTGCGTGTGTGAGCGTGCGTGTGCGCGTTTGTGCGTCCATCCATCCAGACACATCTGCAGACACAAGCTCATTCCGGGGGCGGGGGGACCTGGGGAGTGTCCCCGTCAGACCTTGGGGCAGGTCTCGGGTTCTGAGGCCTCACGGCTCCTCCCCTCGGCCGGGCGGCTCCTGTGGGCTTGCCCAGGCGGCAGTGGAGAGTCTGACCGCCTCTGGGCCTGCAGGTGGCCCAATGCTCAGACCAGGCCCAGCAGCGGGAGCAGCTGACGGCCAGCCAGTGACCCACAGGTTTCATACCCCCTAAGCAGGGCAGGCAGGAGCAAATGGCTCCCACGTTCCAGTCGCCCCGCCCCCTACTCTTGGGCACCCACGTCCACATCAGAGGGGCCCCAATCCCGGGGGGGGCCCACCTGGCAGTCCATAGGGACAGTGGCCCCGCTCCGGCCCCCGCTGTGTGTTCCCCAGGCACAGGAGCTCCCACACCCCCTGTGACTGACCATCCTCTGCAGCTCGGCCCGGTCCGGGGGCAGGTTGGGAGGGGGTGGAAATGTGTGCCACCGGCCGCAGGGGTGTGTGTGGGCGGGCAGGGACAGTCAGGTCCTTACACTCCTCCCTGCTCCAGGCTGTGGACGCGGGCGGTCACCCCCTTCCCCAGAGTGCTGCTGTGCACCCGGGCTCTGTGCCCACTAGGGTGCAGCAGGCGCCCAGCTCCGCTGTCTGAGCGGCTGGCCTGAGCCTCTGCTGCCCCCGTGTGGTCAACCTGGGAAGGGTTCTCGCTCCCCGGAGCCCAGTGCAGGTCCAGCCCAGTGCCTGGGAGGCTGGTTCCCACGGCAGCGCTGAGCGCCCTGCGCTGGCCCCCGGCGAGGCAGCTCGCCGACGTGGAGGTGACATTCTGGCCCGAGGGACACAGGTGGGCGGTGCTGGCACAGTCCAACGGGACCCTCTGCCCCACCCAGCGGCCGGGCCGAGCTCCAGCCCGCTGACTCTCAGTGCCTTATGCCAACTGGGCACAGCGCCCCTTCAAGACGCCGCGCTGTCCTGTGCGGGAAGCGGTCCCACTACACCACACGAGCCCAGGACGGCCCTCTGTGGGTCGCCGGGCCTTGCAGAGCTTGCACCCTATGTCTGAGGCCCACCTGCAGGGCATCACCTGCACCGGGGGACCAGCCGGAGCCAGCACTGGCACACCAGAGAGGTCAAAGGCACCGTCTGGGCTGGCCAGGGGTGGTGGGCTCCTCGGAGGTCTGCTCACCCCAGCAGCTGGCCGCCTTTCCTGCAGCTTGGAGGGAGGGAATGGGGTGGGGAGGCCAGGAGGCGCCACTGCAATGGCAGAGCCACTCTGCTGAGTGCTCCCCTGGGGTCCAGACCAGGACAGCCTGGGACCGCGCTGAGTGCTGAGCTGGGCTGGGGCCCCGGCCTGCCAGCTTAGCCTGTGGTCTTACTGACCAAGTATCCGGGTGTGGGGGCCCCTCATCTGCCCTCTGCTTCCCACCTCCCCTGGGCCATGCCCCCACATGGAAACTCTGTGGTCTGAACCCCCAGACCCACCCAGACCTCACACCTGTCTCACTTCCTTTCCCATCAGCCCCTCAGGTGGGGCCCTGCGGTTTCTCTGCTGACTTCCTCTCCCAGAACCCGGGCTGGAGCCGCAGAAGAGGGCGCCGGGGCTCCTGGCTCCTGCTCTGAGCTCACCGGCTCCTCTCCCGTGGCATCAAGTCTGAAGCCCTTAGCATAGCACGCACAGCTGGTGGGAGCCGGCCTCTGCTTTGCCCTTAGGGACGGGGTGCCCCTGGCCCTCCTTCCCCCTCCCTGTCCAGCCACATTCCCCACCGTATTCTGAACTCCTTTCTCAGCACTCTGCTTCTGCTTCTGCAGTTTCCCGCCCGGTGAGCCAGCATTTCCTCCCCGCTGTCCCAGCCCCCCCAGTTCCCAAGGCGCTCTGGCCGCTGGCGCCCAGCGCCTCCCCCACGGCTGGCAGCAGCGGCTGCTTGTGCACAGGCGCCTGCTGAGCAGTGGGCTCAGCATCTTTGAGGCTCCAGGCAGCAGTGGGTGTAGGCTGGGTGGTGATCAGCCCCAGTACCACCTGACCCCACAGGCAGGCCCTGGGGCTTGTTGCTGGCACAGCTGGGGGTGTACACACCCGGCAGCAGCTGAGGTGGTGAGAGCCCTTTCCTGGGGTGCAGCCTGTAGGACCCTCTGCCATGTTAGTGTTCTGTTTCTCTTCATGGGGAGAGGTGGCGGGTACAGGAGGAGGGCTCTAGGTTTCAGAGTGAGAAGACCTGGGTTCAAATCCTACTTTGCCACTCGGTGTCTCAGAGCCGTCCTCACCAAACGGGATAAGGCCCACCTCACGGGAGGGTGAGGACGCCTCCATGTGCAGGATCACTGGGACGCTGCTAGCGTGCAGACTGGCTCAGCAGGTCCGGTTGGGCCTGAGAATCTGAATTTCCACCACATCCGCGGGTGGTGGGCCCCACTGAGCTGCAAAGACCAGGGTCAAGGCCCCCCACCCTGCCCGCCCCAGGCCTCCCGCCAGCACCGCGGACAGCGCACTGGGGTCGCGGTGCCGACCCCGTCCCGGCCTCTGCCAGGCTCACCGGGGACGGTGGGGGCCTTCCCGTCCCACACGATGCTTCCACCTCAGGGTGCCTCCCGGCCGGCCGGAGCGTGGTCACCGGGTGGCTCCGCAGGTCCACCACGGGCGCCGGACCCCCCCCCCCCCGCCCGCCTTCCGCAACCCACGGGCCCTTCTCACTGGCGCAGCCCGGGTCAGTCCGCGGAGCCTGGCGGGGTCAGCGCCCGGCCCCTCCCCGGCCTCCCGGGCCAGGGCGACGGGGAACTTCGGGGTCAGCGCCTAGGATCTCCCACTGACCGGGGCCAAGGGGGGGGGGGCACCACGGCATGCTGGGAGTGGTAGTCCAGACTCGCTGTAGGCACCTCGCGTGCCGGAGCAGAAGGACCGCGCGGCATGCTGGGAGTTGTAGTTCAGACTTGGTCTCTGAGGGGTAAAGGGTCGCCAGGTCCTGGGGTGCAGCGGAGGGAAGGTTGTACCTAGAAGGCCGAGGCTCGGCAGACTTTCCCAACGCGGGCGCCCTGGGCTCCTGCCGCTTCCCTGAGCGCAGGGAGGTCCCGGGCCTGGGGGACCAGTACCAGCATCCTCCGGTCTCACAGGCGGGGACCGTGGGGGCTAATGACCGCCTGAGGTCACTGGCGGAGGAAGCGGCCCATCTGGCTGACTGCAGAGTCCAGCTCGGAGCTGTGTTACGCTGTCTGCAAAGCAGCTCTGCACCCTTTGTTTTCAGCAGATTCGTCAGCGCCTGCCTCTGCCCAGGTCCTGGCAGAGGGACAGCGATGGTGCAGCCAGGCTGAGTGTCTGACCTCCTGGGCATAAAGGGGCAGAGTTAGCGGTGCCCACGCAGGCAGCACGGCCTCCTGGAAGCCAGTCCCAAGTGGTGGCTCCTTTTCCTTGAGGTCTAGCCACAGATGTTCCCAGGGGAGGACTCAGTCCCAGAGGGTGCAGCCCCGGGCAGGGCCCCCTCAGCCAGGCGGGCGCTCATCCTTCACTGCGCCCAGGCCTTCGTCAGAGCTCCAGGTCAGCCTGGACACAGGAGAGCCAGCACCGCCCTCGGAGCGCAGCCCTGGGGTGGGGTCGGGAGGGAGGGTGTCCCTGGGGGAGCCGAGGCAGGGCCCAGGTCTCTGGCAGGCTTCCTGGCTGAGTGTGGCAGGCAGAGCAGGCATTAACCACATGGAGGCACAGGGAGCGGCTACAGACCAAGGGGACAGCACAGGAAAGGTTTGGGGTAGGAGTCCCCCAAGGTCAGCCGGCTGGAGAGGTGAGCAGGGCCAGGCGGCCTCCCCGGAGCCCCCACCCTCTCCCCCTGCCTGGCAGGGTCACTGAAGGGCGGGAATCCCAGGCCGGGTGGGACCTGTGACCCCGAGGACCCGTCTAAACGAAGGGCTGTCTGCGCCCCTCTGCCCTGACCGGAACCCTCCCTGAATCCCAGGCCCTCAGAGAACAA